GTTGTTTCCCATCATGCCTTGCGCGACAACGCGCATGCGCCCATGGAGTCGAGGCTGAGCCGTGATTGTCGGTATAGAGAGGCGTTAGTGTCGTAATTGATCCACGCAGAAACCCGAGTGAAGAGTCCCACCGTACCCGTCATCAAATCTGTCATAATTGGTGTGAGGCTATTGCAGCACAATCCTAATCATTGTAGAAATAATGTGGTTGCCCTTGAGCAAGGAGCGGCCATTTTGCCTCCCATGTCTTGGCAAGCTGACTTTGCGTCATCCCAAGTTTGCCTTCAAAGAGTGAAGCGATATCGGGCGTTCTGGAACAATTGTTGCGCGCAAGAGCAGTGTGTCGGAAGAGGCAGGAACCTGACCCAAACGGACCATTGCAATGCATTAACAGCTAAAGTGACTGCTACAAAGTTAACCAGTCTATTAACCAGTCGTATTGAAGTTAGACTGATGCAGAATAAAAAGTGGTGGTCGCGCAAAATAATTACGCCGTAAATCATGAAGGTGGCATACAATAGATCGTAGAGCCATGGTCACTTTATCGTACAAATAATAGTAAGGGTATAAGAAACTAGTCATTGTGGTAACTCGTCCTGTTAACTGGTTACAAATAACCATTTAGAATTAGGTGGACAGATTAAATAGTTGCTGGGAAGATCCTGCAAGCGAGGCATTCGATGTTGCCTACTAAAACAGACTGAGCAACAAAAACAGGTGCCATTCTCAGTCAAGACCTATTATTGCACCGCATCGTTATTAATCACCGAGTAGTGAGATTAAAAGGGTGTGTATTTCAAAAGTTTGGAGATTTTAGTTTTAATTTTTAGTAAGGTTCTTTTTAAGAACTACTTCCTACTTTTTAATTCTCCTGTAAAATATGTGAAGCACTTTGAGATTCTATTGTAAAGTCTCATGTAGGCCTAAGCGTCATTGCTTTTATTATTATATGAAATTTTACATTAAAATTTCAGTTCATAGAGCGAGTAAATAATATTTTCATATGCATCGTTTTCAATATCGCAAATTGTTCAGTGCCACTTGTTCAAAAAGGAAATTTCCCTCTCTCGGAGGGAGAATTAAAAAGATGTAAACATTAAGCCACTCTCTAAATTCCAAAGAGTGAAATTAGAGACTAGACGTTTTAGAGTGAAAATCACTCTCATTTTTGATTGAAATAGTCTGAAAAAAAAGAACCACTTAAGTCAAAGCTCGAGTGAAAACTCAATCTGGAAGGAATTTCACTCTAAAACGTCCAGTCCCTAGTTTCCGACTGTGGGAGTTAATCTCAGTCACTCGAATGGAGTGAATTTTCACTCTTTGGAATTTAGGGAAACATGGAGAAACATCGCGGAGATGTTGGACACAACAAATACTAATAGGTAGACTCCACGAGGGAGGGCTTACAAACCAATTGAGATACTCGATATTGGATGGTAAACACTAGTCTATGCCCCGTATGTTGTTGGGTCAAATTTGGCAACATAAGAAAGACTATCGAGATTTTTTCCAATGCAGCAAACGTACAACAGGAAACGACTTTTATTTTGTTTATATTATTGATAAAATTGAAACAGAGAGAAATAAACTTGTTGGCCCTATATGATATCTTACCTGGCTCATAGTTGGCGCGAACAATCATACAAACGACATTTAATATTTAAACATTCGCATATTAAAAAAAGGTTCGCATTACAGTTTTTAGAAAAAGGTGTAACAATACAATCATCAACTTATGTTATCGTGACAGAATGTAATGAATTACATGTAAGTGTACATAGCAGTATGTTTATAAATTACGGCGATATACACACCTACGTAGTCATAAGGGATTGCCGAAAGTCTTTGTTTTTCTCAGTTTAGCAACTTTGCTCCGAATAATAACATTTTATGAAAATGTCAAACATTTATCCTTCAATTTTCTATACTCGTTTGATTCTTGCTTTATATATTTAAAACACGGGTATCATAAGTATTAAACTACTACCCTCAGGTCTTCGATCAAGATCCGTTAATGTGTTTAACAATGTTGGTGTGATAAAACTACTTTTTTTTGTTTTTGCTTGATAGTAAACCTTTTATTAATTCTAGAATTCAGTGTTTGTAAACAGTTTAAGAATGCGTGTGTATAGTCAATCGTGTCCCACATTGAGTATAAAGGACTTTTCTCAATTGTCCATGTATACAACAAATCTTTCGTTTGTATTAAACGATGCATGAATCTGTAATTGAAGTTTCTGAACTGATAATCAAAATATAATTCCAGGAATCTCTGTGTGTCTGTGTGTATTTCAATTTTCTCCAGAACTGGGCACTGTATGAAAATTGGCAGGTGTATTGCTCATGACCCCAGAATGTACAGTGTTTAAGTTTGAAGTTGTTTGGAATAGCGACTGTCAAATAAGCTGCAAAAAAGCAGCAATACCAGAGGTATAGACTCTACAAACGTGTTTACAGCCCGCGCCACGCAGCCGCACTACTGCACATTTTGAAAGGGCACTGCACTCTCCGCGCCACGGGTACGGTTAACCATGGGTGTTGGGTTGTACGGGCTCTACCATTCTTGAATGGGGGAAGGTCGCTGTACGGGCTGTACCATTCTTGAATGGGGGCAGGTTGCGCAACGGTCAGGTGGGCTTCGACTAATTTTTTTTTTCAGGGCACGGTCGAGCAACGGAAAGGTGCAGATACGGCGCGCTGCAGCTATACCGTCACTTTTGCGGGTATATCGAAGGCCAAGCAATATACCAAACGGTCGTGTTTTGAACGCGCACTGCACTTTTTGTTAAATGTCCACTATTTTCTTTTCCATGTTGAAGTCCAATTTTCCCACCGTTTTCCCACCACGATTGAATTTGAGATTTCGTAATTTTTTTCTTGTAGGATTATTTTTCTAAATTACTCAGACTAGGATTAACATGAATATCAAAATCATTTTTTTTTAATTGTTTACCATGATTGATAAGCGGTCTTTTGGTAAAACACTTCCTTCTCAACATGATTATTTTGACTTACTAGTTGCAGTTATGGTTTGTGGCCAATTTTGTTTCAAGATGGAAAAGTAATCAAATCATTTACATAACTAATGTTAGATTTTATCCAATTACAGAGTACAGTGTTTATGAAACCTTATAAGTTCAGTTTTTTTATTTCAGTGGGACTGACATGTTTGTGCACACACAGAATGAGCTCGTTATAAACTCGTGGTAACCACTGTGTTTTCACCCATATTTTCTTTTCTCAAAAAAAAATGCAGTTTAGGACTACAGGAGTCTAGGAAATATTCACAGAGTTGTTCATTTAATACTCGTATTTTTTAGTAGTTTAACAATCCAGTTGCATTTGGGTTTCCATGTTAATGAAGTTGAATCCGCCTTCATTGAGCCTTCGTATGCTAGTCTTCGTGCAATTCGGTCTGTGTGTCCATTTCAAAAGAAAGGGAAGACGAGTTAATTTTTAGATATGCATTGGTGGCGTTTTGGATAACAGATTCCAGAAAAAAGGTATACATGTATATAGGTAATGCTAGACTGTTTATACAAGTAAGATTTGAGGCTTTGCATGGTGGAGATACTAAATAATGAAAGGTTTGCGGAAACACCATGTTCGAATAATTTCTCAACTGAGAGATGGTTCTGAAAAGAACCAGAGGTATAAACTCTTTATACGGTTCTTTACCAGGAAGGGTTTATGCTCGTCTCTTCCATGGGTTTATCAAACTTAACATGTTTTATTTTGTTCTTCCCATCTTAATTCATAACATTCACTCAAGATTTTTTATTGGTTCTTCCTGCAAAATATCAATTCAAGCAAATGTTGATCAGGGATCAAATTGCAAATAACAGGCCCTTTAGGGTTTCTTTTAAGATTACGTTTGCCCACAGTTTTTAATGAGTTAACTGAGGAACAAAAAAGTTTTAAAAATAGCAAATAAGCAGTGGAATTAGTAAAAATGAGCCAAAAAAAAGCAAACAAATTTGCATTTTCCAAATTTTTTTGCATTTATCTATGACCTTCAAACCTAGTACAAGTGGGATTTTGAATGTATCATATTCCGTTCTTGAGATACGTAGATTTCATGAATCATAAAACAAAATCACAAGATGACGTCTTCATGATGTCACTTCAGTTGTCATATATGAACCATTCCTGACTATGTACACACAAAGCTTCAACCCAATCGGCGTTGTAGTTCTCTAAATATAGGCCGTTGAAAAAATACAGCCTTAAGATGACGTTACATGATCCCCAATGACGTCAGAGTAATATGCGTGATTTCAGTATAGGGTATCAACCTGTGCAACGTTTTATCAAAAACAAAATCTGTTTAATGTCAAAAGAGGTGACGTGAATGAAGCATGTACATTTCTTTGGGATTCAAAATAAAAAAACAACAAGCAGAAGAAAATACTAGAGCATTGTCTGTTACATGAACAGACACAGGGTTTGGCTACGTTGAATTTTAAAGTTTGTTTTAATCATTAAGCTGCGCCTCCTCTATTGTTATCAGATCTTTTGATAGACAACAAAAGGGAGAAAAAATAGATCTCGATTCTCAAAGTTCTCCTGAGCAGCTAAGGCGCTTGCGATCCCAGCATGCTGTCTCATGAATTTTGCGAATTCGCAAAAGTTGGAAACTTTTCAACTTCAGCCAACTTCGCGGAGAATGGTTCCTGATGTTAAATCGCTTTGCATTCGCGGGAAGTATGAACCACTAGCTCTCCTTCATAATTTGCAGTACGAAATTAGCGTCGTACAGAAATGCACTATTATGAAGTCCACAGTTTGAATGCAACTGCATGCCATGACATGCAATATATTACACAGCAACCTGGGACTGGGCTTTCTTTAGCTCCGTGAGGGCCGAAGGTGTTCCTCACAAAAAGGTGACTGTAGCCCCAAAGTTTCACCCAAAACATATGAACTCGGTGGCTTACAATGCTTCTTTTCTGGCTAACAATGCCCCAATGACGTACACTGTGATGACAATAAAAAAAATGTTCACCTTTTTTTGTGAACTGCTTGCTCAGCCTGAACGGTTCAGACACAACGCAGCAGACTCCATACACACCGTACAAGTATCAGCTAACACAGCGCCTAAGTAAGTAAAGGCAGAAACGAAATATTACACACTTCACTTCTGACTACAGTCGAACCATTTTGCGCAACCACACCTTGAACACTGTTGTCACTATAACTACCTTCATTTACGATGACCCGCACAAGGTTGGTAAAATGTGTTAACCTCTCTTACTGTTTTAATGCCGTTTACAAGCCGATACTATATGATATTATGTATAGGTATTGTTCATTGCAGTTCCAATTTCTTTGGGCCTGCATTATGATATAAATTACAGTTGAACATGGTTGGAAGTTGATGGTGGATTATGAAGTAGGCCTATCTGTCGGAAATGCAATACATGCTTCCTATTCCTTGTGTTTAGTTATTGACGAAGGTTTCTATAAAAAAAAGCCGCCTGCAAAGTTTCTAGGCCCATCTTTCTTAATGCTATTTGTATGTGTTTCATCATTCCAAAGTAACGTCTTCAATCTAACCTTTACAGTTCTAAACACCCATATTTGTAAATCTGTATAATATTGTGGCGGGAACTCCCCGGGCCAACCCTAGCCTGTTAGGATAATTTAAGTCTGACTCCTATTGAGGTGAAGAAAGGCTTCTCAAACCAAGGCTCTTCCCTGGACGAATCATCACTCAGAGCGACCTTTAACCCTAAAGGGGCCGGGGCGGAATCCGCCCCCCCCCCCTCAACATTTTCCGCGACAGCCTCTAAAAAAAATTCGCGACCTGAGCTGTTATGAATTACTAGCCTCGAGCTTTGCGCATCTTTTGATACCAAAAACATGAAAATCGGACCACATGTAGCCGCGTAGCGAAAAATTTCCCGGCGCTACGCGCCGTGAAAAATTAATTTTCGCATTAAACGTCGTGTACATTGAGCAGAATTGCCATTCGTACATATGAATAATTAATTAGCCATAATTCCAAGACCCTTTGACCTATAGTCATGAAATTTCTTGGGCATGTTAAGGAAGAGTTGCTCTATGCATGTGCTGAGTTTCAATAAAATGTCATCACTCGATTGCTGACATCATAGGGGGGGGCCGAATCCGCCCTCCCCCCGGCTGAGAGATGGTCAAAATAACCCGGCCCCTTTAGGGTTAAGGCTAAGGGTGCAGGTCCGTTTTGGTGGAAATCTACCGCCCGATTGAAAATAATTGTTAATTACATGTTAATTGTACAACGAACATGTAATAGAGACACCCGACCTGTCGGTAAGTCAACAATGATCATCGTTTATTCAACAATATTCAATAAATGTACAGTAACTTGAATTAATAGGCATGGTTGTTCTATTATCTGGGTCATTTAACTATTGGAGCGATTAGCTAAGCCTACTGCACGCAGCAGCAATGCGTAACAGCATCTGAAATGCACAACAATGTCAGCAATTCACTGCAATGTCAGAAATGTATCACAATGTCGACAATGCGCTCAATCGTCAGCAATGCACAACCGCACAGCCAATGTACAACAGCATAATATAGCTCTGTCCCCGCTACGCATCGGCCATGCAATCCAGTCAGCAGAGTACAGCTTTATATTAGCCTTGTACTTCATACACATCAGCCAAAGTACGACTATGTACATATGGCGCATATAAGCATTTCCCAAAACGCAGAGCACAAGAAATTCACTTCTTGCTCGCTCGCAGTCCGCAACTTCAACTCTTTGTAATCACTTGAGTACAACCCTCACGACTACGGTAGCAGACCAGTAAATAAACTTCCATAGACCCCAATGGTAAATGCTCCCACTTCAAAAATTCGGGGAAAATACTCACAACTCTCCAAGGTGTTGGAGACACACATCAAATTAAAGCTTATTTCATCATATTTCATTTTCTTTTCAATTTTTGGGGGGTCAACTGATGACTTTTAGGAGAAATTGCCATCTGAAGATGATCACCCCTGAAAATAGTCCTGAAGCCCATCACCATTTTGAAAAAACGATGCCTACACTCCATTGCAAAATAGAGCGCTTTTAGGGTCCAAATTACATCAAAATTACACAGAACTGCAAGCTCCCAGTCCTGTGCACGGCTTCCACCCATATTCTTTACAAACCCTCAAGTTCATGGCCCACAGCATGCTCAAATACCGAAGATTTTGAGGGCATGCAAATCGTGATTTGGCCGGCGCAGGCAATTTCGGACCGATTTACTGGTCTGCACCTATTATAGGTAGCAGACCAGTAAATAAACTTCCATAAACCCCAATGGTAAATGCTCCCACTTCAAAAATTCGGGGAAAATACTCACAACTCTCCAAGGTGTTGGAGACACACATCAAATTAAAGCTTATTTCATCATATTTCATTTTCTTTTCAATTTTTTGGGGGTCAACTGATGACTTTTAGGAGAAATTTCCATCTGAAGATGATCACCCCTGAAACTAGTCCTGAAGCCCATCGCCATTTTGAAAAACGATGCCTACACTCCATTGCGAAATAGAGCGCTTTAGGGTCCAAATTACATCAAAATTACACAGAACTGCAAGCTCCCAGTCCTTTGCACGGCTTCCATCCATATTTTTTACAAACCCTCAAGTTCATGGCCCACAGCATGCTCAAATACCGAAGATTTTGAGGGCATGCAAATCGTGATTTGGTCGGCGCAGGCAATTTCGGACCGAATTACTGGTCTGCACCCCTAGACGCATACATGTTTATGCACCAACCTATGGCGCAATAGAGCCTATGGCACTTGGCTAACCAATCGCGTACATGCAGCAACTCACGGAGCTCCTTAGCTCCGCCCGGTCGCTAAAACAGCGAAATAAACATTAGTGCTGTAATGTATGACGTAACAAATAAATTGGCTCTAAGCTCACACATTTACCGTCACAATATGTTTTGTAGCAAAATGCGAATTTCCATCGAGTTTTCTAGTTGATGCCTTGTCCGAAAATGTGAGCATTATAATATAACCCTAAACCCAAATTCTAATTCTTTGCAGAGAGTTATCGAAATCCAAACGTGAGACATCACGTTGATGTGTACCGCAATGCACTGTTAATATCAGTTCAGGTTAATACTTAAAAGACATCTTCACACTGTAGAATGGTTTATTTTTTAACAGAGGCCGCTACGTTCTTTTGGCATCGATTAGAAAAGAAAAAAAGTAAGCTGCAAGGCACTTTCTACATTTTTACCCAGAATACTTTGTGAATCACACGGCCGTTCCTAGAGCACGGAGAACGACGTGGATGAATTTCGAACTGCCATTAACTTGCTTTCAAATTGGGTTTAAGGTCTCAAATTTGGCAGGCGACGTGCTTGCAACCATAACATTTTGATGTATGTGTTGTGTGACACGTTTTCGGCACTCAAGTTTCCAGTCTGGTCGATGCCATGCGAGTCGATGCAATGTTCGCTTGATTCTTGCAGTGTTTTCCGTCTTCGTCGTCCTTTTACTCAAACATTTCCCTAACATCGCTAACTGATACCGTTACTCACAGAAATATGTCGATACATGGACAAGGTACACAACATTGACTTTTCGGTTTGCCAGAATATTTCACTCTGTTTTGGTTCCAGCCCATATTGTATTGATCCTTATTCCAGTGAGGTTCAGATCATAATAGCGGGTTCACACTCTTTATACGTGACGAAGCGAAAGCAGCCAGTTTCAGCAATAACATGTTTCCATTGTCCAATATGTAAATTAGGGTCTGTCCCAATTTGTTGTTATCCGCCTCCGTGGATAATGGTCGGCAATGCATTAGTGGCTCTGCGGCAACGAAAATAGCATGACTTTTCGATTTCTCTCTGTGTGGGCCTGCATGTATAATAAAAACATTTTACAAAACACACCCAGCAGGGAAAATAGATGAGTCATTCAAGTTGTTTACGTGAGCGTAGGTTGTAGTTCACTGTGGCTAGATCAACATTTGGAAAATATTGTGACCGACTGGTCCAAAGTACCAAACTTGCTAGCTAGATTTTTATAGTAGAAGAGTTTATGACGAGCAACAACGTGGAGTTTTTTCGTGTCTAAAGCTAGCTCAATGTTTCCATTGTTTGTAGATTTTGATCACCTAATTATGATATTGATAATGAACACAAAGAGGAAGTTATATAGTTTCTCTATACCCTTGCTCTTCATCATATTTTTCGATTTTTGTACTCCTAAGACATTTTCAACTTTTAGTTAAATTTAAACAAAACTCGAAAAATTCAATTTTTTGGGGTGGTAAGACGCTTGCGGGTTTTGCGAAGAAACTACAACACGATTTTAATAGAGAATATATGGAACCATATGACGGTATAGGCAGTGCCCGAAATAGGCATACAACAATTCTCGTGTGGAGTACATGTACATGTACATCAACTACATATCACACAATGAGTGAATCGTCTCTTTCCAAAATGGCGTCTTTTTTAATTTTCGTTCGGGAATAAAGTTTGTTTCACAATTCTATATAGAAGAAAACGTTCTCTTGTTTGTGACTGAATACTTAATTACGTTACCCAAGACTTCCAGGACTTGCACATTTCACAAGGGACAGGCATTTCAATCACATGGAGTGTAACGACTTGTGTGGACTATTTGATATTAATTGATACATGACTGCAGTCGGTAGTCTATGTAATAGACCACGGCGAATGCCGTGGTTTATGATGTGTGAGCAGATTCGCTGATTAATTAGGCAAGACAGCCGCCTCTTGACCTCTAGATTTGAACCAATCAGCGGGCGCTTTCTATATCGGGTCTTCGGTCATTCACCCGTTGCGCGTCATAGACAATGGATAAAAACCTGTGTCACGTGCTCTGTATCATGTTACGCGATAATGCGTCCGGCTGTTGTATTACAAACACTGCATTCAAATTGACCAATCAAATCATTAAGTCCTGATTTGGGAATGAAATGACGTCACGATTTATTCGACTCTGATTGGCTGACGTGCGGCTTACATATATCTACATGACTAGACATATCAGACGTTATACAGGAGATTTGGCTCCGTAGATAACGGGTGATACTCAGACTATGCAGTCTGTGCATCAGTGTGGCATGTGCGTGTTTACACTAACGACGTTCGTTGAACGCTTACAAGTTTACAGCTGTCAACATGATTTACTGGTAGCGTATACAATTTTTTTTTTTTTGCGAAGAAGCATGTGACCGAAATCAATATTGTCATTCGGTGACTTTATTTTTAGTTCAAGTATTTTGTTCCCCGAGATTCCCATGCGCGATATTTCATTTTATCAACACTGTATGATAAAATGCTTATACCCAGCCAGTACACGTTTTTATGTAGATGAATTCATTATAAACTTTGCCCTAGTTTCATATACAAACAAGAATACAGGCCAGCTTTCTCGCATGCTGCCAAGTCTTTGACCTAATTAGCCAGATCACCTCGCTCAGTTTCCAGCCTTGCACAGCTGCACTCCATTACCATATTTGGTATGCCAGGGAGAGATTTAAACATGCAAATGTAAAGACCAACTTTGAACCAATGAAAAAGTATGTTTTGTCTTATGTTGCTTGGTGAGTGGTGGCCCAAGTTGGGGCGCTGAAAGCGGCCTGTGCTCATTTTTGTTACAGTCATTGAGACAGCAGGATCAGATTTCATTGTGTGCATTCATGGGTCTTTGTAGCTTCGGCTCTGTACCGAGCTGAAGTCTTGGGTCTGTGTTTTGTACCGTGTTGCTTCGGCTCTGTACACAGCTAAGTCTTGGGTCTGTGCAGTCTGTGGTGCCAGTGGTTAAGTGTATTTTGATCACTCGGTAGTGTTCAAAATATCGGGAGTGTGTCCCATGTACGAATTGATGTGACCTTGTTATATGCACACCACACTAATGTGAATAGCGCCCTCAAGAATATCACCACTCATTCATGCGAGCAAGAACAGATGGCCGCCAGCATGTCAATAAAAACTAGGTTCATGTTAAGTCAAAGACAAGTCCCTGTCCTTTCCCTAATGCTTCAAAGAAGCGTTACATGGTGGCAGCGGTAAACTGAAGACTTTTGTGAGTACCAAAGCAAACTCAGAAAGTGAAAAACTGCGCCATTTTCAGGCCAATTTTGTGCCATTTTCGTGCCAGTTTCTCATCACGTTGTTGTCGTCATTCGAACACTGTACATTAATTGTACTGAACTGTTGCTCATGTATTACTATACACGGTAATATACACGCACAATGGCATTTAGTTCAGCAGTTTCATCTCCCCAAATGGACTTGGAGGCGACAGATATTGTCACAACTTTCGCAAGATACAAACAGTGTCCTAAAAACTGCTACTGAGGAAGAAAGAGCAAGTTACCTGTTGCTGTGGGTAGGCGAACAAGGCCTGGACAAATACAATAGTTGGAACTTTGACAATGAGGAGGACAGAAAAAAACCAGAGGTGCTTCTGTCCCGGTCCCAGCAGCACTTAGAGCCCAGGTAAAACCACCGCATATACTGATACAAACTACAGGACATGAGACAGAGTCCTAATGAAACTGGAGCTGATTTTGTCTCTAAGATGAAAGCCAAAGCAGCAAAAGGCAGATACCGTGGCGACAAAGAGATGGAAGATCGCCTGGTTGATCAACTAATCTGGGGATCAGCCCACAAGGATGTGCAAAAGGTGCTGATAGGGAGAGACGAAAACCTATCACTCAAAGAGGCCATTGATGTTGCACGCAGCCATGAAGCGACTACACTCCCAGACTCAACACAGACCTCCCACACAGCCAGTGCCACAGCAGAAAAGCCTATCAACGAATCCAAATAGCGACAAACTGGCAAGAAACGCGACCAACGATCTTGCTACAACTGTGGCAGGAAACATGATCTACTGCCACGGAGCAACTGCCCTGCCTTTGGTTCCACATGCCGCAAGTGTGGAAAAGCCAAACACTGGAAATCAGTGTGCAAGTCTGGCCGTCCCCCAAATCCAGACTCCGTTCCAAGTCTCCCCGTAGACGAGTCCACTATCTCGAGGAAGACGACTCCGAGGATGAATACCTCACCATAGGCACCATTGTGGTCAGCAGTATTGGCTCCTCTGATGACACCAGAGAAGAAGTCTACGCAAAGCTCCACATCAATCAGAAAGGCAGGCGACCGATTATGCTGCGATTTAAAGTCGACACCGGAGCACAGAGCAACATCTTACCAGTGCACCTCTTCTTCATCATCTACCCCGACAAACTGGACAATGATGGGAACCCAATGCCCGGTGTTCTTGGAAATAGCAACATAGCGCTCACTGCATACGGTGAATCAAAGATTAATCAGCTAGGCACAGTGAAGAATTCCTGCACATACAATGATGCAAAGCACATTTGCATTTTCTACGTCACTGATGCAGTTGGTCCAGAAATCATTGGCCTAAAGGCACTTCAAGCTCTGAACCTGATAACATTGCACTGTGCTGTGGAGACGAGTGAACCAATAATAATAATAACAGGATTTATAAAGCGCCATTCCATCTAGATCATGGCGCTAAAGCAACACAAGATAATGAAAACAGACATATTAACATGAAATTGGAAACAGGTGAGCTTTGAAGTGTTTTCTGAGTAATGAAATAGTCTCCTGTGATCTGATGCTTGAAGCAATTGAATGCACAAGACGAGCAGGCATCAAGCTGAATGCTGACAAGTGCATCATCAAAACCTCAGAGTGCAGCTTCTTCGGTTTACTGTACTTACCTGATGGAGTCAAGCCCAACCCTGACGAAGTCAGGGCAGCATTTAGGAAATGCAGCCCCCTGGGAACAGAATGCAGCTTCGCACATTCCTTAGTGTAGTAAACTACATGGCTCCATCCGTCCCCAAACTAGCAGAACACACAGTGCTCCTACGGGAACTACTCTGAGACGATGTAGACTACCAATGGTCTCCATCACACTCGAAAGTGTTCAACTCCACACAAACCCTCATAGCTCCAGAAACCACACTCACATACTACGATCAAGAAACAACCAGTAACACCACAGGTGGACGCATCGACCTGAGGACTGGGTGCCACCCTAGTTCAAAATGACCGCCCAATAGCATTTGCATCGAAAGCTCTGACATCAGCAGACACCCGCTATGACAACATAGAGCAAGAGCTACTAGCAGTGCTGTATGGATGCTAGAAGTTCAATACATACCTGTGCGGGAGACAATTCATCGTGGAGAGCAATCATCGCCCGCTCCAGCATATCCACAAGAAAAACATGATGCAGCTCCAGCAAGACTACATGTACAGCGAATCCTCTTGCGTCTACAAGCATATGAACTTGAGATAAGCTACAAGCCAGGCAAGGAGATGGTTGTTGCTGATGTCCTCTCACGTCTTTCCCCCTTGGAGAAGCACGAAATCTCAGAGATACGAGTTCGCATACGCACCATCGTGAGTGTAACACCAACAAAGTTGGAGCAAGTACGGAAGGTAACAGCAACAGACCTGACCTTTCAACTACTCAAGCAGCAGATTGCAGATGGCTGGCCTGACAGCATCAAGAAAATTCATTACTCTATCCGAGCACACTGGTCAGTCAAGGACGACGTGGCAGTAGAAAATAGTTCTTGTCGGGAGAAGAATTGTAATTGCGATCCTGCAACAGATCCACAGTGACCACCACGGCATGGAGAAGTGCAAACTACACGTGAAATCTACCGTCTACTGGCCAGGAATTTACAAATATATTGAGAACATTGTAACAGCTTGCCAGCCATGCCAGAAGTACCAGCGAAGTACCACCGCGTTCTTGGCACACCCTTGGAGCAGACCTCTTCTTCCATGACAAGACCTGGTACTTAATCATTGCAGATCACTATTACAAATTCCCCTTCATTCGCAAACTAGATAACCTAACAGTCAGCACAGTCACCAGAGTGTTGCGAGTTCTATTTGCTGAACAAGGTGTCCTGGATGTCATCATTTGCGACAATGGAACCCAATTAACCTCTTCGCAATTCCGAGCCTTCGCACAGCAGAATGGTTTTCGGATCCAGACATCGTCACCCCACTACCAAAGAGGCCATGGTTTCATTGAACGACACATCCAGACTGTGAGGAGAATCCTATCCAAGTGTCACGAATTAGGAGACGACCCTAACCTAGCCCTCCTGTGTCTTCGCACGACCCCACTCAAATCCAACCTCGCTTCCCCAGCCGAGCTACTGAACAGACGGAAGTACAAAACTGCACTACCTTCAATAATCCATCCCCCACCTGACCGTGCAATTAGGTGATTTCCAAAGATGCGTCTTTTTGGAAATTTCCTTTGCTTCGTTTACAATTCGGCGAAGCCGTACATGGGTGCACGCGATGCATGACATCGCGTAACTGCTGCCATCAGCTTGCACATCAGCTGAACAAGAACGTGTCCCGGTCGCAAATTTCGGCCGCAATTAAAAACATGGACTCGGATCCTAGAAAAATTGTTTTCTCGGAATTTACATCATTCACAGAGCTAAAAGTTCCACAGGTTAGTTGTAAAGCTCCGTTCTTCAGATTTCGAGCACTTTTGTTGCCTCAAATCAAAACAAAAAAGCACGAATGACAAATTATATACTTAGACAAGATAAGTTTCCGGAAGCACCATGTGAATAAATCTCTTTTGTGATTACGTGTGGTTCTGAAAAGAACCGGAGGGACTCGCCCATCAACATCGCATCATCGTTGGAATCCCTCATTCTCCTGACGACGGGCAGAGCATACTGTTCAAAACGTTGAGTCCCTCCGGTTCTTTTCAGAACCACACATACTCACAAAAAGAGATTTATATTCATGGTGCTTCCGCAAACTTATCTTGTCTTAGTATCTTTCCACCATGTAAACCTTCAAATCTCAAATTATATACTTTACCTTTAATATGAAATGAAATAATATTGCCATATTTTTAATTTGCCAGATTCGTCAAAACACAGTGCAGTGACCCACCTTTGAGAAATTCAGTCACCTACATACACTCAAGTAATAACAACTCAACACTAAGTAATTAGGTTTACGCTCTTGTTTTTGTATTTTCCCACTTCCAGACTACTTTTGCGTTCCCGTTCAGCTGTGTTGTTGACAGCTATGTACGTGGCTGTCTTCTTCAGTGACTACCAACATGCAGCAGCAGTCAAGCTGGACAGAACGGGCAGCTGCTGGGAGACTGTTGATAGTAGTTGTAAGACATTTTAATATATTATCACCTTTATTGCTCATCTTGAGCTGTAAATGCTGTGTTCATAAATACCTGGGCCAATAACCTATTCCTATTGGTCAAGAGCCCACCGCCGCTTAAAGTTTAAACACTGTACGAAAGCTTAAAATGTGAGACCTTGGACTTCACGCCACATGCGCGCGGTGGCACTCGCTGCATACACTGAACCTGCTAAAACTTGCTTGAGAACCACTGATTTTGCACACTCTATAGAAATAGCCCGAGCATGGAGCAAAATAGTAAGGAAGGTATATTGAAAATATCTTTTCAATATGATGTTGTTTTATGTAAAAGTATCTAAAGTAGCGATGGCTTGAAAACACTTTGAGAAAATGAAGGCTTCCTTTCAGAGTTATGGGCAACAGCAATGATCAAACAAGATACCTTTTTGGCAACTCGAGTACTTTTGTTTTAGAGTACTAGTACTCGAATGTCACAGTACTCGTACTCGTAATGACGGTACTCGTACTCGGGCAGCAAAGCAGTCTTACTCGACATGTCGAAATTGTACTTGATCATCAAAGTACTCGTACTCGACTAGCAGTAGGCCTACTCGAAAAAAATGGTATAGTTTGACTTACCACAGCCTTATTTCATCATCGAAGCGTTCAGTTGGAAATAGTTGAAAGATATGGATTACTGATTTTTCTCAGTGCACATCCGGACAAACACATTTAACAGCTAGCCGTGAGTGGGTCTGTATCGGTTAGACTGGGCCTGGGCGAATTACGCACAATGAACCATTTGCCGTATGGCCGAATTCGGAAATAGAAGTACGAGTACTCGTACTCAAAAGTACAAGTATCTGCATTTAGTAATGCAAAACAAGGGTAAGTCAGCATGGAATTATTAATGAATCAAGAAAATGATTGTATATTTGCTGGTGAAATGGAGATTCAATTTTATTCTGCCAGTTTCCATAGAGGCATCGAGTGCATTTGTGTAAAAGCATCGACTATAGACATTCCCATAGACTTGTGCACACAATTTTTCACACTGAAATGTGCCCTTACCCAATAATCCCTTGTCCTTTTCCCACGAATTTCGGTATATTTACTAATTAGACCACGAGCAACAAATATAACCTAATTGCGACAACAAAAGAAATTACGATACCGTGTCTCCTTAATAGTACATTTACACGTATTAAAATAATTATTATAATAATAATAATTTTAATAATAATAATAAAAAAAACAGGTTCTTATAAAGCACACCTATCCTAAACAAAGCTAGATTAAGGCGATTAACAAAAAAAGTACCAAAAATTGATGCTCTGAATAGTTCTGTCTTCAAACGTTTCCTGAATATTGTCACTGAGTCAGACTGGCGGATTTCTTGGGGGAGATTGTTTCACAGATGAGGACCAGAAGAACCAATGGCACCCTGGCCGATCGATTTGTTACAGATAGTGCAAGTCTATATTGAAATGTCATTGTTTAAACTAAAAATTCCCCTTTCTTTACTTCATTCAATAAAAATCAGTTTTGGATGCCACAAGTGACACCAGTGCCCCGTCTGGCCAGCCAGCCTACCAAATCCTCAATAAGATTGATGAGAACGTCTACATTGGAGCCAATGAAACACTCATGAGGGTTTTTCTTGCAAACAACAAAGTGGCAATGGAGAAGGTAGGACATTTTCATTAGGTTTATATTGTCTGCCCTGATAGCAAGAAATGTGTTGTATTGAGAGTTTCTTTCATGAAAAAGTCAAGAAGTGTAAGGGGCTACATTCCAGCAATTTGTTTTAAAGGGGAACATGTTGAACATACAATGTTCGTGAGTACAATGGTATGAATAATTGTATGAGGTGATATATGCAATGTTTGCCTATTTATTTGTTGTTATTTACATTCCAGGGTACACCTAACTATTTGAAAACTGGTTTCCATAACGGCCCTGCATTGCACATTATTAAATAAGGTTATGCAAAAAATTTAAAAAAAAAAGCAAAAAAAAGGACATTGGTCAAACAGACTACGAAATTTAATACTTACAAATACGAGTACGTGGACTATCGAAATATCTACACAAATAAAGTGTCACAAAAGTAAGCTTTGAACATTCAGTATGGGCAACTGCTGTTTTACGGGATGGGCGAAACCCCCGCGAAAACCCTATTTGGAATAAACGCGGGAAAATCCCATCCGGCTCCATCTTACAGTGGCAACCAAGTTTACAACGTCATAGATCAGCGCATATGAAACTACAGGATGAGTAAAAAAAAACGAAACCCAAATGTCGGGACTATTGTTTTAGTTAAGTTCTGCATGTAGCACTTCCAAAATATAGGATATGAAAGCCCTATTCATAAACTTTTTTTGTAGTACAAGAATCATTCAAATCACTTAGGCACTTTTTAAGTTACGGAATTTTAAACACAACCACCGTTTTATGGTTCTGTCCACGGATCACAAAAAAGTGCAGTATTCTTTCAGCAAAACGAATATAAATCACCTACGGATGTATGTGAATTGTTTTGTTTTGCTAAAAGAACGCACACTTTTTGTTATCCGTGGACAGAGTTTTAAAACGGTGGTTGCGTTAAAAATTCCGTAACTTAAAAAGTGCCTAATTGATTTGGTATAAGCAGTTAGTTACGAGACGCAGCTCAAGACTGAGGCCTGTCTTTTACCATTTCAGAATGTGATCAAAATTAGTAAGGGTACAGAAAGTGAAACAAAGGAGTGTAATAATGAAGACAAATCATTAATTGGTTCCTTTGAAATATACTCAAGGCCTACCTACTCTTTAAATTCCAAAGAGTGAACATTCACTCCATTCGAGTGAAGATTCACTCCCACAGTCGGATTCTAGGGACTAGACGTTTTAGAGTGAAATTTCTTCAATCGTAAAGATCGAGGTTTTACTCGAGCTTCGACTGAAGTGGTTCATTTTTCAGACTATGACAATCGAAAATGAGAGCAAGTTTCACTCTAAAACGTCTAGTCCCTAATTTCACTCTTTGGAATTTAGAGAGTATAGGTTGCTGCTAATCGGGACAGGTTGGGATAATGGAATAAGACGAAACAAAAGATTGGTTTGTTTCTTGTCTAAATACTCTCATTTCTTTTCCCACTTAGATTGATACGCTGGCAACAATGGAACCCACAGGCCTTGTCATAACTTGTGCAACGAAAAATCCAACCACTCAAGAGGTGAGCTGGAACTAAGTTAGGGCTGTGCAAAATATATTCAAATATTTGATAGCAGCAAAATGTTTAAATAGTATTATTTTTTTCTGATTTCGAATATAATATGAACAAAGTAATGTTCTCGTGGAGATGATGTAAAAATGTATAAGCTGCGTGGTTAAATCGTTTGTGGAATGCCACACTTTAAAGGCAAACCACTAAGTAGGACAAATATCAACCACCAACTACCTCTTATTTATAATCGTCTCTTTATTAATTTGCGATAAGCGCATGGAGGTGCATGTAAAATCCCATGCGGCAAGTTTTAGAGAGTGCCATATCAGTCCATTTTACACTCTAAAAAGGTCCCGGGTCAGAATTGACCCGGAAAAGGGTCATGTGGGGCCTGACCCTTTTCCGGGTAAAAAATGACACTTTTCTTTGTCAAAATTATACTGTGTGACCCGTCTTTGGGTTATTTTGACCCGGAAAAGTGTCATTTTTTTCCGGAAAAGGGTCATTTTTGACCCGGAAAAGGGTCAGACCCCACATGACCCTTTTCCGGGTCAAATCCGACCTGGGACTTTTTAGAGTGTAATTATCAGATCCATTTCGATCAAGTCTAAGTTGGAAATAAAACACTGAAATATTTGAAATGAACATCCCTAATTTAAGTGTTGTATTTTTACAAGCTTTGTATCGATTTCTTCCATATGACAAAAACAAATCCAAGGCATTGACGGTCTAATCAGACCATTAAGTATAAGGAAAAGCAAGGAAGAAATTTCAAGGCTTTACTCCAATTCTTACATTCATTTATTTGCAAACCTATACAGATTGTCTGTTGGAACTTCATACGTATTGCAGAACAAACTAGTTCCGGTGATCTCCTTGTGTGTGGCACTAATGCAGAAAGTAGGCTGTGTTACCGGGTAGGTATCGTGATTTATATCATACCTTTGGAACACACTTTTGACGTTGGATGGATTATGAAACTTTTTAAGTAGGGCCTTGGGGCCGCCCCGTCGGAGATGGGAACTACAAACTTTGTTTTAATGACACCACATCTTTTTTAACTTTTTGGGCTAATTTGGCAGTTCCAGTTTGGGGCAGAATGTATTAATTTCAGAAAGCGCACAATTACATGTTAGGGATAATGGGACCCGGCGAGTCCGTCGGTAGAAGTCTCAGAACCACTACGTCGTATCCTTCAAGCAGTATGCTATACAGGGTGAGTAAAAAAAAAAACGAAACCCAAATGTCAGGCTATTGTTTTATTGAAGTTCTGCATATAGCACTTTCAAAATCTAGGATTTGTAAGCCCAATTCATAAGCTTTCTTTTAGTACAAGAATCATTCAAATCACTTTTGTACTTTTCAAGTTACGGAATTTTAAACACAACCACCGTTTTAAAGTTCTGTCCACGGATCACAAAAAAAAAAGCAAAACGAAAACAGTTTATACACATCCCTATGTGATTTGTTTTCGTTTTGCTGAAAGAACAATAACTTTTTTTGTAATCCATAGACAGAACCTTAAAACGGTGGTTGTGTTTAAAATTATGTAACTTGAAAAGTACATGAGTGATTTGAATGATTCTTGTACTAAAAGCAAGCTTATGAATTGGGCTTTTATATCCTACATTTTGAAAGTGCTACATGCAGAGCTTCACTAAAACAATGGTCCCAACATTTGGGTTTTCGGGGTTTTTACTCACCTTAAAGTGGGCTTGAGATTTTAGTGGGAGAAGAGAAAGGAGAACAACAGTAGTGAAGTACCGGTAGTAGTACTGTGATAACTCCGCGTGTCAACTAAAACAAAAGAAATTTTGTCAGCGCGATAACTTGAGAAATACTTTACATGTGAACTTCAAATTTGGTTTGTGTATTGTTCTTGGTAATCCTAAGAAGCCTATTGCATTTTGGGCTGAAAGGTCAAGGGTCAAGTTCACAGTGGCTGAAACAATAGAAATTTTGTCAGCGCGATAACTTGAGAAATACTTTACATATGAACTTCAAATTTGGTTTGTGGATTGTCCTTGGCAATCCTAAGAAGCCTATTGCACTTGGGGCCAAAAGGTCAAGGGTCAAGGTCACAGTGAGATCATTGGGATTAGGGATTAATTCATATAAAACCTACAGAAGACACTAATGCTGTCAATGAACGTTCCATTGTGACCAAGGTACGTGTAAGTTGATATTAAAAGAGTGGTTTTGGTTGCGGGGCATATGTGTTTGTAAACACACCTGACTTGTTTATGTTGTTTCTTGTTTTGTTTTGTTTTGTTTTTACAGTGCCCAAACGCCTCTCTAGCTGAGTGCACTCAATTAACTACAAATTATACAGCACTGGCTCCGGTTCCTCAAAAATACAATATTAATGCAGCGGCAGCTATATTCAGTAAGTATGCCTCATTTTAACTGAAGGTACAGGTATCACTGGGAAAAAAACACTAAGCAAAAAGGCAAAATTACTAACAGTGATATCTTCTAGTTTAAAGATATGTATTGTACTGAACCTAATATGAGTGATTTCCACGAGAAACAAGAAGACTGACTTGCTCTAGCTGACGTTTATCGGAATTACATGTACTATCAAAAGCAGCAATACGTACAACTAACTGCACCAACTACTTGTTGGCATGGTTTTCCACCATAATTTTATTTTATGTTATTCCAGAGAGTGGCAATGGGGATATGTTCTATGGTGGGGGTGCAGCAGCAAACACCTTCAGCAGATTTTCTGTAAACGCAGAGTTAAGCGCCACTAAGCCCATCAATTTTGAGCTAGATACAGTCACTGTCGGAGAAGGGTTTATCAAGGGTAAGTTGGACAGACACAGATGAAGATTTGTACCCATGCACAGACGACATCAGTAAAAAAGATGCATGTACAAAAACTAATTGGCCAGTACAAGGTATTGATGCAAAGTGCACAATTACTCATTGACAACACCAAGTTATATTTTATATACTTTGTTTTAATAAAGTTGCCTGCTCATTCTGCGGTTTTATGCATGTGCAGTGCTTACATGTTTCCTAGGTGTATACTTGTATGCACTCTGCTGTTTTACATCACCCGCTTCAACAACCCCACTAATGACATGATTTCATGGATTCTCAATCGATATTGTGGCGATTTTGTCCCTTGAGTCTGCTACCCGGTCGGGCCAGCCCACGCCAGCGAGCGGTCTAGCGTTTGAAGGCCGGCGACGCCGATCCGTTTTGGCGGCAGTTTACCGCCTGGCCCGCAGCACACCACCCAGTTCAACCACACCCCAGCAATAGTTCAACCCCAAAGCACCTGGAACTCTCACAGTACACGTTGAATTACAGTGAATGAGGATTACTGACTCGTTCAACATTCATGAATTGAAAAGCGCTAGATTAACTAATTCCAGGGTAGTCCAATAATTAATGATCTATACTGTGATTGGGGACTCGATTATCCGAGTGAATCAAACTCACACTACGTATCAGGCTCTTCCCTGGACTTCAACTGATTCGCTAACCGGGACGTCTGCTCAGGGCGATTGCCACACGGGAAAAGAGGACGAGCAACAACCGCGCTTGTTTTTATACACAAATGCCATGCTAAACTGGTAGCCTCCAACTGTGTGAAGTACATATAAGACGGCTGGAAACCAACTAAGCCGTAGCCTAGCATCCTAAAAACTCGGTTGACGCACTAATCGATTCTGCATTGCGCTACAATATCTAAACAAAGGGACATTTTCAGAATAAGAGCACCATATTATAATGAAAATCTTTAATGCCAGGCAAAACGCAAATATGACATCTCAAGAATAACCCCTGCATGTGTTCCAGAAAGTAAGTCCTGAAACATGGCCATTTTTGTCGCATTTATGTGGTACCCACTTATGATTATGTCTTTGCCCAATACAAGAGTCACCAAAGCATTTAGTTTCTCTTCTTTTTTGTCTCTACATTTATATCTGTGTTTTTCCTCGTACGCTGACAGAACCAACCTTTATAGGGAGACCCTTTGATTACACTCACGATGACGGTAACGAGTACGTGTTTCTGATCTACCGTGAAACTGCACTGGAATACACCGCTGGGACCAAAGTGTACTCACGCATAGCCAGAGTGTGCAAGGTACGTACTTTACATGGAGACAAACAGTTGGAGCCAATATGGTGATCATCTCCGGTATCAATATCATGAATTAATTGAGAATACTGATATTTCCCCACGATGGGATACCAGGCCGTCTCAGGTTTATAGTTCTCAGTTAATGCTGCTACCAATTTATATCCCCCGGGTTGAGAGAGGGAAGTGCGGGATTGAAGTGGCTTGCCCAAGCATATGAGATATGACCAGCACCAGGATTCAAAGCCCTGATCCTCTTGTCCTGAGTATAACAAACCACAAATTTTACCACAGTCCCCCTATACCAGGAGGAGGGGGAGAGGAAGATGTAAACCCCATATTTCTTACCTGAAGTCCAAAATAGTCCCAAAAATATGGGTGACAAAGTTAAGCTTTGAATAATTGTATGCCTGTGTTCACAAATTGCCTGTCAATTTTCAGCTACATGTAACACAATATTGTTTTCTTCAAGTATATTTTCAGCCTCCCTGGACCCAAACTAAAGTTGTATTCACCACATCATATGCGTGCCCCCCCCCCCCAAAAAAGTTTACAGTTTCTGAGTGAAATCTTCATATGGAATGGGAAGCACAATTCCCATGCAGGATAACAAGCAATATCTGCGCTGACACTCTTTCAGTTGATATAGTTGGTGTCTGGGTTTTATTGATGAAGCTTTGATATAATAGTAACTAAATTGGAAAATCAAGTTTAATTTGTAAGGCTTTTAATTTACAGAACAGCAGGCGTTACCAATAGAAGCTGGACTTATTCCAAGTGAAACGTTGCTAATATTTCGAATATGTTGTTTAATTGTTATTGAATCATGGTCCATGGTATTTAAACATCTCGTTATTCCTAAACCTTTTCATATATTAACCATGACATCGTCCAACGAAAGAAAAAGTCAACCAAAAGGTTCATTGTGAAATTATTCCCCATTTCCCATCTTGTCCACTTACATGTTTCACCACGTATAGAATGATACAGGAGGCACCGTCAACACAAAGAAGTTTGTCACCTTCATCAAGGCTCGTTTGGAATGCTCCGTTCCCGATGGTAATGAGCCGGCATTTGAATATGATTATATTCGTAAGTATTCACATTGAGCTCACTTTCTATTACTTTCACAAAACGATACCTCACTTTCAATAGCTATAACTTCAAAAAATGAACAACAAACGATCAGTTGCCCATGGCAACAACAACCACAGTAAAACGGATGGAAACATCACACTGCTTATTTGAGAACATGTCTTTCGTTGAACACAGATATTCCAAAGCTTTTTCACCCACAGCTTTATTAATGAATTTTTTTACGAATAATAAAAACGTTTCAGTAAAGTGTTAAAAAGTGTTATTGGAATTGCACTGATTTCAATAAGGGAATAACAGTGTGAGGAGCCGGTCTTCACTGCGTGATAATGACCGGGTGTGGGGGTGACCGCTGTTAATGGACCGAGACGAAGTCGAGGTCCATTAACAGCGGTCACCCCCACACCCGGTCATTATCACGCAGTGAAGACCGGATCCTCATACTGTTATTCCCATTAATAAATACCTTTTTAACGAAAAGTGACTTTCTTTCGGCGATATTTCCAGACTTTTTTGTGTTCATGTTCATGGGCCATATTTTAGCTTAACAGCTATAACGACGTAAACTCAACAGAAACTCTTGCCGTAGCGAAACAAATTACAACAATGTTTTCATATCTTTACCTGATGGAGGAAGCTGAAATCTCGTTTACACATTCCTTGTGTCCGGAATTACAAAGATACTTGGTTTAGGAAAGGTAAATATGTCGGTGGGTGAAGTGTTCAAAGAAAATAAATCGTAGATCTACGCTTTCGTCGTAAACATCCTCACTGCACTGCTGTACGATGTCGTTTCAAAACTTCCTTACGCGCGCGCACGCACGCATCCCTAGCAACTGTGTTGCGTACGCGCGCGTCAGTCTCACGCGATGGGGGTTGAGCGCATGTGCAGTGCTCTATTGTTACAAGCTACCCCAGGACTGTTACTATAGTTTGACCAATCATTGGCTTGTATGGGGCTGAACGGGGCTGGATCAATGCTGGTTCAGGGGCCATTTTTTCGCTTGTTCTTTGAAGCCGGTCCATTATCACCGTTAATGCCCGGCCACGTGATCGAGTCTCGACCAATCAAAAACCATCAACTCTCCAAGGTATTTATTAATTCCCTATAAATGGTTCTGCAATTTCCCATTAATATCAGATCCTGCGCATAAACTCAATGATGGTTCTCATTTTACACGACAGGAGGGACCCTGATGTATTGCAGATCAGTTTCTCATCGTGAACTGAAATGGCGGAAATGTTTTATAGATATGATTCATGGTTGAACATTATATTTAAAAGGCCATTCTTCCTGGTTTGCTGAAGATCTTCATCGATCATGAATGGCTATGCTAAGCGCTAGGTGTCTGATATAGTATGTCTCGCATTATTAAGTTCAAATCTAGGAAATGTTAAATATATGCTTGTTCAATTTCAATTGATAGAGGATGTTGTCTGGGATGCCAATAATCAGAGCGTGTATGCAGTATTTACCAATCAAGAGTAAGTTCAAACCATCTCGTGTATATATTACTCCTTTTATTCATAAATCAGGAATAGAAACCTAAATATAAATCAAGAGACAATCTAAATTTTTACAAAGAAAGGAGTGAAATATAACAAATAGTGATAAGAGATTCATGTTTTCATAATTTTCTTGTTTAATGTTCAGCATATTTATTTTGGTGATTAATTATTCATTTTATGAAGGATTCGTGTTTCCGTTATTTTCTTGCTATTGTTCAGCACTGTAAATCCATAAAGAGCGCTTGATAAATTACTGTATTGTATTGTATTGTATTGTATGTGTAGTGAAATAAGTAAGTTAATGTAATACAAAGAAAAATAATTTAAGTGGTGGACGGGGGAAGTGGAAATGATAAAAACAAAAGAGGTCTACAGAATAAATAGATTAACTAAAATAATTGAGCTATCATTTTAACCCAAATAAAGCTTAGCTACACATCATGTTTGCATGTATTCAAGGGTTAATTTTATTAACTGTATCATCTCGCTTTAACTTTGAGGATGGGCAAGAAATGTACCTTTGTTCATGATTTCATTAGAAGGGAGTCTATAATGAAATACAGGGATACTTCGAGGGGGGGGGGGTTGAAAAAATTACTTGTCCCAGTTTATTCACTTTTCTTTGTTGACGCCAACACTGTGTTGTGTAATTATCTGTTTATTATTTGTATTTTTGACCTGTCCATATCCAGAGTACAAATGGAGAATGTGGGGCCTCTTTTAAATTGTTCTTGAAGGCAGTCGCAGGTATTGGTCCCACTTGTTCAGTAGAGCTACTGTTCAGAACATATACTTTTCTTTAAAATTATAAACTTGGTGGATTGTTTTTCAATGACTTATATAGTTCATGGATATGATCGCTATTTCAGAAATGGCCCCGTGTCGTCAGCCCTTTGCCAGTACAGGATGGAGGATATCATGAATCTGTTCGATAACGGTAATTTCCTGCAACAGAATGATGGCGATGTCAACGCTCTGTGGAAGCTAGCGAATCCGCAACCGAACCCTAGGCCTGGGAAGGTATGTCCATCACTGTGCATGTTAATTTAAAATACGCTTTGTGCAGAAGCTGCAGATTGCACTGTCACCTTGAATGAGAACACACAGTAGTATTAAATTGTGGGGTACTCACAGGTGTAGACAGCAGGGGGGGGGGGGGGGGGGGGGGGGGGTTATTTCCCCCTCCCCAATATTTTGAAAAGACTGCCCTTTTCCTTCACCCCCCCCCCCCACCCCCCCCCACCCCCAATATTGTAAGAGTGCCCAATTTTTTTTAACAAGGGCCCTTTTCCGGAAAGTGCCCTTTTTTCCCAAACAACTGCCCTGTAAAAAAATGTAAACGTGCCCTTTTTTGTTCCATCGGCGGTTACGGGTGGCTTTTTTTAATGCCGCGCATTAAGAACGCCATATATTGTGGACAATCGTCGGTTTTGAACCGCACCCCAGTCAACAAAGGGAAACTCCCCCCCCCCCCCACCACCACCACTAGAACAAATGTGTCTACATTTCAGGACCGATGTGCAAGTACCCTTTTAAAGAAATTGTCAACCCCCCCCCCCCCCAATAAAAGTAACCGTGCTACGCCATTGGTACTTACATAGATCTTATTATTCCCTTCGTCAGAACCTTCCTTTATGGGTAAGGTCATACAAGGGGAACTTTTACTACCAATTTTGTATTGAAATAGAAGTTCACTTTAAATGTAAATCAAATGACAAGGATCTATACATCACTAATTTATAACAAATATTGAGTGGCTTTAAATTGTGAAATGGGAGGAATATTATGGCACGGTAATATTCCAGTTTTATTTTTATTGACTTTTCCCGCAAAAGTCCAGAATTTACCTAGCGATAATGTTCCTCCCATTCCACTATGAGCCGCTCGATATTTGTATGCCGACTCGATAGACCACTAGAATGGAATGCTGTTTATTCTGGGGACAGCTACAGGCTTGCCTTGTCTTGTAAATTTTACTCTGAGCACATCTCATTGCTACAGTATTTTGTAGTTTTTGATGTAGCTGTAAGCCTATATTACAAGGTATATTGATTATTTTCTTTTTAACCTGTCAGTGTTCTGAAGTCCACGACACTGACTACCCTCCGCTGCTACATAAGTTGGTGCCCAGCTATAACGCCAAGGAACGAACTGGAGGAACTCAACAAACACCACCATCCAATTTTCCCACATCAGATCCGCCCATACTTAACGTGGACGATGTTCGCTTCACCAGCCTGGCTGTCGATTTGGCTGTCGATTTGGCTGTCGACTCTTCTGCAGTGTACTTCGTTGGAACAAGTACGTACCTGTAATAAGCGTTGAAAGCATTTCAAATTGGGTTACAGATTGGGTTCTTGATTTGGTTCCAATTTTTGTCCGAAATTGGGAAGTCTTCAAACTGATGCTTTCTCATAGTACACGAACTTGAAAACCGAAGAAAAAGTCTCTTCAGCGGGGGCATGTAGCACTCACATCGTTCTTAGACTTAAGCAGATTCCAATGCTAGCACCAAAGACCTAAAGCCTTACAACCTGAGGACCTTCCCAAGAAAACCTTTCAGAAATGGGAGCAGAGTTCTCAGGTTATCCAAGTGCAGAAATACACTCAAAAAATGTCAATTTAGTGTACTTCTGATGACATATCTACACCATTGAATAACTAGGCTCCTAATACCTATCAGTGAATGAGAGTTTTAAATGGGCTTTCTTTTTGCCTCGATTTTATCAGCAAATGCAAAAAAACGAAAATAATACTTCTCCTGCCGATCCCTCTTTCTTCAATATAGGTGCTGGAAGTTTGATCAAATTTACGACAGAAGTATGCGACGGAGTTAACACGATAACAAGTGTTGAGCTTGCAGGATTCGTAAGTACTATGACTTTTACGGAGCTTAGTTCTTGTTCCAGAAAAACAGGGTTCCCAGCACACTATGCAAACCAGAGAAGCCGTGAAAACGTGGTTCCGTTTGTCCAGTCAAGGGAAACTCGGGAAGGTCCTGAAAAACACAACAAATCAGGGAACACTCGGGGAATTTTAAAAACACCAAAAATCAGGGGAAACTCAGACTTTGGGACTTTTTTTAGCCAGTTTGGCAAAAATTGGCGAATGGATAAAGTGTGATTAAATTATAAGTCTACTCTCCAGACAATAACAATTGGACACACCTCTTGATTTCACTGCATTCTCATTTAAGAGAACATTTTCCTCATGCCACCTTTGAATATTTCTCCAGGAAACATTTAGGGAATAGTCTGGAAATTGTGCTTTCATAGTTTGCTGGAAACTTTGTTTTTATTCACTAGTTTTGCTAAAATGTAGCGAGTATAATTACCTATAAATGTTGCTACAAGTTTCAGAAATTTGTTTCTTGTGCAGTTAGTTACAAGAAACATTTGTTGGGGTGGAAGAAGATGTACATAAGGAACTGATTTTTTCTCTGAAGAATGCCAACGGTCCCATAAATGGGCTGGAATTGTTGAGGAGTGCGGATTCTGCTGCCACTTTCCTGGTGGGCACATCCGATGTCCAAGCCTCCATCGAATGGCCCTTGAACACCGAATGCCAATCAGCACGAGATGAATCGGAGTGTGCGCTCAGGTACCCTTACTGTAATTACACTGAAGCCGGATGCTCATGGTAAGTGCTCTACATCAGCTTTTTTCATCTTAATCCCATAATCACCATACTGGCGGCCTAGAAACTGAACTACCCAAGCCTAAATTGCCAGTGTCCAATTGCCGTAATGTCGCTAATGTTGCTAGCATACTTTGGGCGTGGTCCCTAACTACATGGCATTTATGAGTTTATTGGTTCTGACTATAGCGCCCCTGAACAATAAAATAGGGTAGGGCCAATGATCTATATTATACTGACTGGATACAACCTCGTCCCCAGTGCTTACTTTATTTCCGACACCGTTTCCAATAGTAATCCCTGGATAAGAAACTTTCTTCCTGTATTCAGATTCGATACCGCAGTTAGCTAGAAATGGATTTATATCGTGTACTTTGTGTTATTCACAACGTGCAGTACGTATTTTCACGATCGTTCGTCCACACCTTGTCGAAAATATTATAAGTTAAGGAAGCGATTTTGGATCATCAAACTCGTTTTATTTATTCATTTTCCCAACAGTGTTATTTTACTCATGTTAAAATTTTGTTCAAATATAAAATTTTATTGATGACATTTCTTATACTTTTACGTGGCCAAAGGGAGCTTCAAAATGGCGTCCAGTGACTTCATACCTCACGGCACGAAGCGCTATCCAGTTAGTATAATAGAGATCAGTGGTAGGGCTGCATAGTACTATTGGTAGAGCACCGGAACGGCAATCCGGAGGTCAGGTTCAAACTGCACTCAATTCAATTTCTTCAATTTAATCATTATTATATGCATGTACTTTCTAGTAGTTTCTCTTGTACCTAGTAGTTTCTCTTGTTGTACAAATTTTGTTGTTCTGAAAATGTCCTATCTTAGTAGTTTCTCTTGTACCTAGTATACAACATTTGCAAACATCAAAAAACGAAATGATCAAATTATCACGAAATACCTTACTGAATTGTTAGGGATTGACAGTCTAAAGCATCCTGTTAAATTGTGGTTCCTGGTGTGCTGACATTTCCAAGAAAAAATGTATTTTCCAACGCTGGTCGGCCGACCAGCTTTGGAAAAAAAAACTGGCTTTTTTCCCAAAACTGCTTCTAACTTTTCACTTAGTTATTTTGCACTTTCTTTGCAATTGATTATACACCTGTGAAGGGTAGTACAAGCCTGCTAGAGTGATTCTTTGACCTTACAATTCCCCAAAGTCTTTACATTTCTCCGTTTCAATCTTAAGTGGGGTCAGGGAACCAGACTACAAAAACAGGATTGGTTTATTGGTTTTTCCAGCATATACAAGCCCAAAACGTGAAACAAGTCAGTTTAACAATATTTGCTATAACATACTTATCCTCCAAATCCATTTATTTCTGAAAATTGCAGCAAAAGCAAATGTTGTACAATCCCTTTAAGCCTTGAGTCCCATATATCACACCACATATTCGCCATACTCTATGTTGTAAGCACTGTTTACTCCGAGCTGTCCAAGAAGGCTAGGAATAATAGTCACAGTAACAGTAGGTGAGTGGTCGTCGCCGGGATATTTTGCTAGAAGGGAGCAAAGCACTCACAGAACGGAAGGCCATGATTTTTTTCTAAAAGTCATCTGATTTGTCGTATAGTGATTAGATTCTAATTTCTTTCTTTTCCAGTACCGCAAATAACTGCACCAATGACCCGCCTACAGGTACGTCACATCCCTTTCCATGTGGTGCATTATATCGGCGTGAAGATCACAACTGGTTTTACTGGCAAATGTTACATTTAAACCAAGTACATCACGGTATTTTGGATTGTAATCACACCATCATCAATCGAGCTTCACTATAGACGACTTTGCATATTGATAGCAGTTGGTTGCGTTTTATAGACGACTTTGCATATTGATAGCAGTTGGTTTGTAGCAAACGCCCACTTAAATTAAGGCATGCAGTTTTGGTGGCATTTGATAATTCCATCAAGAATACACTTGCCATTGTCGATGGTTAGTGAGTGAAATAAATCCAAAGGAGCATAATAAGCTGGCCTTCTTAGACCAGCCAAAACAACTTTTACAGTTGCATTGATCGCTTGAATTTTACAAAACAAGAATTTCACAGTGGGTAATGGCCAATGCTGTGGGGCGCTTAATAGGCGGGCGGTTAATGGGCACTATTTGACTAGAGTGCGCACTTCAAGGCGGTACAAACTAATGTCGACATTCACGCGACATTGAAAAAGGGTACTTGTGGAGAAAAAGGACACTCGTGAGACAATATTGGTCGGGGGACTAAACATCCACTCACCCCACCCCCGGCGGTGATTACAGTGATTATCGTGTGCTCCATCTTTTGCAGAGTTTTCTGACAATGTACTGACAGTGTTCCCCAACTCGAGTGTATCGGCCTGCCTGAACGACCACGTGTACTGGTTTTGCCATCTAGACAATGACAACACGATTGTCGAGTCTGCTGTTGTCACTCTGAAATGGGATATAAGTAAGTATTAAGGCTGGTTCATATTTATGAACCAGCAATAAAATTATGTGCAATACAATTAAGACAGCTCTTTCCTACTTACATCACCAATTACATGCCGACTTCCAAACCAACTCCAGAGGTAATCGCTTTTTACAAAGAAGGATCAGGACATAGCGATACGGCAGTTCAATCGTTCCAACAGCTATCAAATGGTACAATGAGCAACTGGAACGGTGAGCTTTCGTGTTGATGACTCTGATCCCTCATCAACGTAATGTAATGTAGTAGTTTGATTTTTACATGTAATTACCGGATTTAAATATTTGTGGTAACTATATTGTATTTTTACATCTTCTTAATTAATGATTGTATGTTTTTATAACCCGTTTCTCTGTCAAGACCATTTTAATTTCCCTCGTGAGGGATAATAAAGTTTAATATAATCTAATCTCATCTCATCTAATCTAATTCAATCTAATCTAATCTAATCTATTTCACGCAAATTTTCAGTGCAATGTTAATTCGTTAGGGTCATGGCAAAAGGGTCATTTGACGTCTTGCAAATAGCTTCACTGCTGCTTTTGCGTAAACTCTGAATTAGCCATTAGGGTGATCCATTGAATGCGCAAATTAGGAAAGAAAAACAACCAAAATCGCGTATGAACAAATACATTACCAACAGAATAGGGCTGCATAGGTCAGTTGGTAGAGCACCGCAATGGCAAACAGGAGGTCGCGGTTTCAAACCCCGCTGCAGTCGATTTTATTTTTGGTCAAGTAAAAGAGATCTTGCTTAGTATATATTTTTTAAATTGTAATAATATCTACAGCGGAAAGTGAGGAGATCAAGATGACACCTATATATACTAATGAACTGGTACAATTGGACGTTATTGTGAAGAACAGCACCGTAGGGAGCTACAGCTGCACGACGGATGTTGGAGGCAGAGTGGTGACTAAACAAGTTGAACTCGCTATGAAAAGTAAGTCGATAATTATTTTCTCATTGCATTCTCCAAAATGTATTAACTGAAACATAAATATCGGATATATATGTGTGATCATAAATAAACTCAGACAACAGTCTAGGCAACATTTAATAAAAAGGCTCATTTAGGGTAAGAAGAGACATTTTTGAGTAGAAATTGGTAACCTTGCTGTTTAACCTAATTTAGGGGTGCTGAAGTTGTTTAAGTCCTCAACGTAAGGCAACCCTCCGCCTATTTTTAGCCCAATTTACGGACACCTCAATTTCCCCCTGTTGATTTTTTAACCTAAATATCAAGACGTTATAATTGTTCACAGGTGAACTGTGCCTGTAACAGTACTTTTTCCAACAGCTCTCATTGGTTTTGTTCACGTTTTCTAATCGAGGACGTCCTCCATTTGGTTCCTGTCCTCGATTCACCGATGATGTTGTACGTGTTTGTCCTCGATTTACACTATAAACAAACGTTAACATAGGCCTACACAGACACACACGTTTGTTTATGGTGTAAATCGAGGATATTTTTTGTTGTTCCTCTTTCCTTTTTTCTTTGTGTGCATTCTAACTTTTGTCTCCTTCTGTCCTAACTTAATATTCTCCGATCTATTTGACAACTCTGTTTTTTGTTCCAGCGGACTGCTTAACATGTGACAATCTAAGTGCACGCTTGAAAGAGTATAACACTCTTAAATCGCAGAATGAGGCTTTGCACATGATGTATGGCAACGGAAATGTAAGTTGGTTTCAAAGTAAATGTGTTTGTTTGTATATGTATATTTGTTTTATTAAAAAGGGGGAGAGGGGAGCTAATTCTAATTTAAACTCTATTACAATATCTAGACATATTCTTCAAAAGAGACCATCATTCTTATTCTCTTCTGTTTGTCCAAATGTCAAACTTTTTGGGGAAATAACCAGAGACATGTTGTTGTCTGTATACTGATTGTCAATAGGAAAAAAACTGAAATTGTGTGGAAGCACTGCATGATCAGTGGGCCAAGTATTCAGCCAAGATAGAAAAGACCACTTTGACTAACAAAAGCAGTTAATAAGGGAATAAATGTGTGCTCCGGAGGTTTTTATCACTCTGTTTAATACCACTTAGAGTCTGGGTGCTGATAATTACCCGAGCCGGAGGCGAGGGTAATTATCAGCACCCAGACTCTAAGTGGTATTAAACAGAGTGATAAATACCGACGGAGTACATATTTATTCCCATTCATAAATACCTTTTCGGTAAAAAAAAATCATATAATTCGTTCAAAACATCCCGATTTTGTTCAACAAATTCACTTTATGCTTTTGGAATCACCCCTCCTGCAAAATAATGGAGTGTTCAGCTGGCGAGTAAGATAAAAACAACCCTTTTATGGAGATTGACGCGCGCGTATCATGTTCTATGCGATGTCGCGCAGAACGCACCTGGCGCGTTGCGTTTTGAATTTAGAACTATAAAATTCTAACTCCCTGGTAGTGTTGCGCATGCCTACGTGAGGATTGTGAACGTTCAACCAATGAAACGATCAGAGGCACTGGATTTTTAGGAGTCCACATTTTATTGTGACCCTGGAAAAGTGTTTAAGACCAGCTAGCCATGTCTTTATCATCCGTTTAATACCGGCCACGTGACGGGCTCTCGACCAATAGGAATGGCTAAACTGTCGGAGGTATTTATGAATTATGAATAAGACAAAAGGTAGAAACACAATGGAGTGTGGTTAACCTCTTTCCCATATACTGAGGGACATTTATTAAGAAGAGTGGATCAATGGGTGCGATCTTGCTACAGAAAGTTGGTCCCTCATGCCTTGCCCGATCTCAACCCCTGGAATTTTGTAATTTAAATATAAATAAATTGAACTAAATTAAAGAGTATTGTAGTACCTATATAGCGTTTTCGATACAGCGCTGTATTTCACGTAGATCTTATGGACGTATTATTTTCAGCAGTTGCTTTGTTTAAGTATAGACCTGTGATCTAAATTGGTGTGGAAGAAAATTTAACGTTAGGCCTCCTGCTGTGGTGGTTAAGCAGCACACAGTTTCTTTCTCCTTTGATGGTACACAGCTCGTCACCGTTTTCACCCAAATATGTCCAAAATTACCATCTTTTCGATTTGTTTTTTGTTTCCAATATTTTGCTTTAAAACAATGTACTTAACCATTTTGACATGTTTCTGTAAGCAAAACATCATTAATTTCCAAGTTACATTAATGTTGCAAGGAGCATCTATCTCGATAAATGCATTTTGCGTTTTCACGAAGAGCCACATACATTTTGGCACCTTGGACGTGAACAAACCTATTGCGCGGAAATCCGTAAAAGTAGGCCAACTGAGATTTCCGTTTTCACGAAGAGCCACAATCTTTGTTACATTTTCAGCTGCGCGCGCGTACTCACGCGCACCTCTGCAAATACACGTTGAACAGAAAGGGCAAAAATGTCGGAAACCTTAATTTTCGTTTTCACGAAGAGCCACGTATCTTTTCTAATTTCACCAATTAACTGCTGTATTAAGTCTAATTACTGGGTTCATGTAAAAATTCAGCTCTCATAGAATCGTGTGATGGTTTCAAAGAATCGTGTGATGGTTGGTGCACAAAGTTGTTGCAAAGTGTGGGGGTTTTTTGCAGTTTTAAAATATGAGGAACTTCTTTTGCGATTATTTCGAAAACGCATTTTCTTCAAAATCCAAATAATGTGGCTCTTCTTGTGACTGTTGTCGGTCACTGGAATAAAACAGTGTTAATGTTTACTTCGGTAAGTTTGAAACTCTCTGGCCAGGCAAATGTTTTCACATCTTGATTCCTGTGTGTTTTTCCCCAGGAAATGTGTTCTGTGAAACGCCAGGATTGCGCAACTGTGGACTTAACATGTCCAACGTCGCCATAATAACTTTTTCTTCAACATTGTGCATTTATAAATGTATGAAGGTTGGCATGTTTATTTTGTTTTTTAAGTTTAAGTTTATTCGCAAACACAATCGGTGGGAATAATCCAGAACTGCAACAAAAAAAAGATCAGTTTTTCTGGAGCTGCTGTGTACATAAATTGGCCAAGCGCAGAAAATCTAAGCTGCAACTTGTGGTAGGCTATTTATTTTTTTGCTTGGGCATTTGGTCTGTTGGAAAGTCTTAAGTACAGTCAATTCTATATTCGTACTACATCTGTGTATATACTAAACTTTTCAGTTTTTGCTGGGGTATTTGGTCTATTGGAAAGTCTTAAGTACAGTCTATTCTATATCGTACTACATTTGTGTATATACTAAACGTTTCAGTTTTTGCTGGGGTATTTGGTCTGTTGGAAAGTCTTAAGTACAGTCAATTCTATATCGTACTACATTTGTGTATATACTAAACTTTTCAGTTTTTGCTGGGGTATTTGGTCTATTGGAAAGTCTTAAATACAGTCAATTCTATATTCGTACTACATACAGTACTAAACTTTTCAGTTTTTGCTTGGGTATTTGGTCTTGGACAGTCAGTTCTATAGTCGTACTAAACTATAGTCGGATGTATCGTATATGTGCATAAATTTCCTACGCAGAGAACGCAGCTTGTACACAAAGGTTGACTGCATAAATGCAAAAACCATCACCTTCCATGATACACCGAATTATATTATGTAATTTGTTGGAGATTGTACTTTGATTTTGTTGATTTGATTTTGATAGCTTCGGCATTCTTGTACATTCTTGTACAGCCCTTTTACAACTTCTTATACTTCAATGCAACTTGTTTAGTTTATCCAAAAACCTCTGCCATGTAACTTTTAATATTTCTTTGAATTACTTACTGCATGTGTCATCACTTGCAGGCCAAAGGGTTACAGACAAGTAAAAGGAACGTTTACCTTAGAATACTGTTAACAATATTCTGTTGAATTAACCTGTTTTATTGACCTATCGCCATTAGCAAGTTGGCCACGCCCCTTTAATAGACAACCCTATGTATAGGTTTTGTACACTAAATTTTGTTTGTCTATTATGTTGGGCGTTCCGCGTTCATTTGTAGCGTATGCTGTGGTGGACAAGCCATGTTGAGTTGAAAATGCAGCCGTGAGCGACCTCGTTCCTCATGGGTACGATCTTGCTGCGCCATGTTGTTTCCCATCATGCCTTGCGCGACGACGCGCACGCGCCCATGGAGTCGAGGCTGAGCCGTGATTGTCGGTATAGAGAGGCGTAAGTGTCGTAATTGATCCACGCAGAAACCCGAGTGAAGAATCCCACCGTACCCGTCATCAAATCTGTCATAATTGGTGTGAGGCTATTGCAGCACAATCCTAATCATTGTAGAAATAATGTGGTTGCCCTTGAGCAAGTAGCGGCCATTTTGCCTCCCATGTCTTGGCAAGCTGACTTTGCGTCATCCCAAGTTTGCTTTCATAGAGTGAAGCGATATTCAGGCGTTCTGGAACAATTGTGGCGCGCAAGAGCAGTGTGTCAGGAGAGGCAGGAACCTGACCCAAACTGACCATTTCTATACATTAACAGCTGAAGTGATTGCTACAAAATTAACCAGTCTATTAACCAGTTCAGAATGTAAGTATTGAGGTAGACTGATGCAGAATAAAAAGTGGTGGTCGCGCATTTTAATTATATGCAGAAGGAATTAATCTTTTTTCTATTGTGCCAAAAATCAAGAAGGTGGCATACAATAGATCGTGTAGCCATGGTCACTTTATCGTCAAATAATAGTAAGGGTATAAGAAACTAGTCTTTGTGGTAATGACGGTTGGGAGAGACCATTATTTGTAAAAATCGTGTTTCCCCCCCCCCCCCCCCCCTGTGAATGAACTCTAGTTTGAAAACAATTCAGCCACTCTTTTTAGCAAGGGTCAATGATAGATGGCAAAAATAACTGACTGAAAAATGTTGACGTAAGTAAACAAAGTAGTAAAATCAGCCCCACGCTTGCTCCCCTTCGTTTGCATGAGGGTTATAAAAAACGTTCGTATTACAATCTTTAGGAAAAGGTGTTGCAATACAATCATCAATAATATGTTATCGTGAGAGAATGTAATGGATTACATGTACGTGTACATAAATTACGGCGCCTTACACACTTACGTTGCCATAAGGGATTGCTGAAAGTCTTTGTTTTTCTTTAGCAACTTTGCTTTGAATAATATAACATTTTATATAAATATGAAAATATTTATCCTTCGATTTTCAATACTCTTTTGATTCTTGCTTTATATATTAAAAACACGGGTATCATAGGTATTAAATTACTACCCTCAGGTCTTAGATCAAGATTCGTTAAACAATAAATGTTGGTGTGATAAAACTACTTTTTTGTTTTTGCTTGATAGTAAACCTTTCATTGATTCCAGAGTTCAGTTGTTTGTAAACCGTTTAAGAATGCGTGTTTTTAGTCGTCAATCGTGTCACACATTGAGAATAAAGGACTATTCTCAATTTTCCATTGATACAACAAATCTTTCGTTTCAGTATTAAACGATGTATGAATCTGTAGTTGAAGTTTCTGAACTGATAATCAAAATATAATTCCAGGAATCTCTGTGTGTCTGTCTGTTTTTCAATTATCTCCAGAACTGGGCACTGTATCAAGTTGAAACTTGGCAGGTGTATTGCTCAGGACCCCAGAATATACAGTGTTTAAGTTTAAAGTTGTTTGGATCATTGGATGAGTGACTGTCAAATAAGCTGCAAAAAGGAGCAATAAGCCATTTCGGAGTCACCAAAATGTACTACTGCGCATGCGCACATCCAATGACAACGATTAGGGTCGGGGGTAAACAGTTCGCCACACGCGTGCAAAATCAAAGCGGGGTACCAACGAAATCAAAGAAAAGTTCTCTCTTTTTTGAAGGAGATGCAAAATGTTGATTCAATGATTGTTTTCAACGGCACCATGGTTTAAGATGTTTTGTATGCTCCAACTTTTGTGCGAACAGAAATATCCATCTTTTGTTTTACTAGAACAAAATTGCAAAATGTGGATTCGATTACCACGTCCTCCATAGACTTGTGTGCATTTACCTGCTTTGTTTAACTTCCGACACTTAATCGTTGAGTCTGATGTGCGCACGTGCAGTAGGCCTAGTACATTTTTGTAACTCCGAAATGGCTATGCTTATACCAGAGGTATAGACTGTACAAACGTATATGGGTGCACACCGGTAAATAGGCCTAAATCAAAATACTCTATTTTAGAGAGTTCTGGGAGCCATAACATTGGGGAATTGAAGAGATATGGCAATGAACCTCTGACCCGGACTCGGGGCTTCCAATTCTAAGCATTTTGGAAACAATTGGGCTTGAAAGTGGCGCTATTTTGCCATGTTGTGGAGGGATCGTTTTTCAAGATGGCTGCCGTTCCACTTTGGGGAAAATAGGGGTCGTCTTCTTAGGGCGAGAATTTCTCGAAAAGTCAACGGTCAAGCCCCCAAAAAATGAAACGAAATTGAAAGACGACATGTCGATCATCCTTTTTCTGTGCAGCTTAAATACCTGTGAGAGTTCTGAGTATTTTTAAAAGAATTTTGAAGTATGGGCATTTAGCACTAGTGTCTATGGGAATTTATTTGCAGGGTTGCATCCGTATACAGACCGCGCCACGCATTACTGCACATTTTGAAGGGGCACTGCACTCTCCGCGCCACGGGTACGGTTAACCATGGGTGTTGGGTTGTACGGGCTCTACCATTCTTGAATGGGGGAAGGTCGCTGTACGGGCTGTACCATTCTTGAATAGGGGAAGGTCGCGAAACGGTCAGGTGGGCATCGACTATTTATTTTTTTCAGGGCACGGTCGAGCAACGGAAAGGTGCAGATATGGCGCGCTACAGCTATACCATTACGTTTGCGGGTATATTGAAGGCCAAGCAATTTGCCGGTATATACCAAACGGTCACGTTTTGAACGCGCACTATTTTTTAAATGTTGACCATTATAAGTCCAATTTTCCCACTGTTTTCCCACCACGATTGAATCTGAGGTTTTGTAAATTTTCTAGTAGGATTATTTTTCTAAATTACCCAGACTAGGATTAACATGAATATCAACATCATTTTGTTTTATTGTTTACCATGATTGATAAGCGGTCTTTAGGTAAAACACTTCCTTTACAACATGATTATTTTGACTAACCGGTTATGCTTTGTGGCCATCTTTGTTTCAAGATGTGAAAGTAATCAAATCATTTACATAACTAATGTTAGATTTTATCCATTTACAGAGTACGTGTTTCAACATTAAACTGTATAAGTTTTTTTTTTTTTTTTAAATTTCAGTGGGACTGAAATGTTTGTGCACATTGAGGGTGTAGTTCCTGCACACACAGAATGAGCTCGTTATAAACTTGTGGAGTAATCACTGTGTTTTCACCCATGTTTTCTGTTCTCAAAAAAAAATTGCAGTTTAGGACTGCAGGAGTCTAGGAAATATTCACAGAGTTGTTCATTTAATACTCATATTTTTTAGTAGTTTAACAATCCAGTTGCGTTTGGGTTTCCATGTTAATGAAGTTGAATCCGCCTTCATTGAGCCTTTGTATGCTCGTCTTCATGCAATTCTGTCTATGTGTCCATTTCAAATGAAAGGGAAGACGAGTTAATTTTTAGATGTGCATTGGTGGCGTTCTGGATAACAGATTCCAGAAAAAAAGGTATACATGTATATAGGTAATGCTAGACTGTTTATACAAGTAAGATCATTGAGGCTTTGCATGGTGGAGATACTCAATAATGAAAGGTTTGCGGAAACACCATGTTCGAATAATTTCTCAACTGAGAGAATGGTTCTGAAAAGAACCAGCGGTATAAACTTCTTTATACGGTTCTCTACCGGGAAGTGTTTATGCTCGTCTCTTCCATGGGTTTATCAAACTTTAACATGTTTTATTTGGTTCTTCCCATCTTAATTCATAACATTCACTCAATATATTTTTTTGGTTCTTCCTACAAAATATCAATTGAAGCAAATGTTGATCAGGGATCAAATTGCAAATAACAGGCACTTTAGGCTTTCTTTTAAGATTACGTATGCCCACAGTTTTTAATGAGTTAACTGAGGAACAAAAAGAGTTTTTAAAATAACAAATAAGCAGTAAATTAGTAAAATTTGAATTAGTAAAATGTGCATTTTCCAAATTTTTGTGCATTTACTATGACCTTACAAACCTAGTACAAATGGAATTTTGACTGTATCATATTTCTTTCTTGAGATACGTAGATTTCATGAATCATAAAACAAAAATCACAAGATAACGTCTTCATGATGTCACTTCAGTTGTCATATATGAACCATTCCTGACCGTTGAAAAATACAGCCTTAAGATGACGTTACATGATCCCCGATGACGTCACAGAAATATGCGTGATTTCAGTATAGGTTATCAACCTGTGCAATGTTTTATCAAAAGCAAAATCTGTTTAATGTCAAAAGAGGTGAACTGAATGAAGCATGTACATATCTTTGGGATTCAAAATAGAAAAACAACTAGCAGAAGAAAAAACTAGAGCATTGTCTGTTACATGAACAGACACAGGGTTTGGCTACGTTGAATTTTAAAGCTTGTTTTAAGCTGCACCTACTCTATTGTTATCAGATCTTTTGATAGACGACAACAGGGAGAAAAATAGATGCTCTCCTGAGCAGCTAAGGCGCTGCGATCCCGGCATGTTGTCTCATGAATTTTGCGAATTCGCAAAAGTTGGAAACTTTTCAACTTCAGCCAATGTCGCGAATGGTTCCTGACGTTAAATCGCTTGGCATTCGCGCGAAGTATGAACCACTAGCTCGCCGTAAAAATTTGCAGTGCGAAAATAGCGTCGTACAGAAATGCACTATTATGAAGTCCACAGTTTGAATACAACTGCATGCCATGACATGCAAAGTATATTACACAGCAACCTGGGATTGGGCTTTCTTTAGCTCCGTGAGGGCCAAAGGTGTTCCTCACAAAAAGATGACTGTAGCCCCAAAGTTTCGCCCAAAACATATGAACTCTGTGGCTTACAATGCTTCTTTTCTGGCTAACAATGCCCCTATGACGTACACTGTGATGACAATAAAAAAAATGTTCACCTTTTTTTGTGAACTGCTTGCTCAGCCTGAACGGTTCAGACACAAGGCAGCAGACTCCATACACACCGTACAAATATCAGCTAACACAGCGCCTAAGTAAGTAAAGGCGGAAACGAAATGTAACACACTTCACTTCTGACTACAGTCGAACCATTTTGCGGAATCACACCTTGAACACTGTTGTCACTATAACTACCTTCATTTACGATGACCCGCACAAGGTTGGTAAAATGTGTTTACCTCTTACTGTTTTAATGCCGTTTACAAGCCGATACTATATGATATTATGTATAGGTATTGTTCATTGCATTTCCAATTTCTTTGGGCCTGCATTATGATATCAATTTCAGTTGAACATGGTTGGGAAGTTGATGGTGGATATGAAGTAGGCCTATCTGTCAGAAATGCAATACATGCTTCCTATTCCTTGTGTTTAGTTATTGACGAAGGTTTCTTAAAAAAAGCCGCCTGCAAAGTTTCTACGCCCATCTTTCTTAATGCTACACCTTTACAGTTCTAAACACCCATATTTGTAAATCTGTATAATATTGTGGCGGGAACTCCCCGGGCCAACCCTAGCCTGTTAGGATAATTTAAGTCTGACTCCTATTGAGGTGAAAACAGGCTTCTCAAACCAAGGCTCTTCCCTAGACGAATCATCACTCATAGCGACCTTTAACCCTAAAGGGGCCGGGGCGGAATCCGCCCCCCCCCCCCCCTCAGCATTTTCCGCGATAGCCTCTAAAAAAAAATTTGGCGACCTGAGCTGTTATGAATTACTAGCCTCGAGCTTTGCGCATCTTTTGATACCAAAAACATGAAAATGAGACCACGGGTAGCCGCGTAGCGAAAAATTTTCCGGCGCTACGCGCCGTGAAAACTGAATTTTCGCATTAAACGTCGTGTACATTGAGCAGAATTGTCATTCGTTCATATGAATAATTAATTAGCCATAATTCCAAGACCCTTTGACCTATAGTCAGGAAATTTCTTGGGCATGTTTAGGAAGAGTTGCTCTATGCATGTGCTAAGTTTCAATAAAATGTCATCACTCGATTGCTGACATCATAGGGGGGGACGGAATCCGCCCCCCCCCCCCGGCTGAGAGATGGTCAAAATAACCCGCCCCCTTTAGGGTTAAGGCTAAGGGTGCAGGTCCGTTTTGGTGGAAATCTACCGCCCGATTGAAAATAATTGTTAATTACATGTTAATTGTACAACGAGCATGTAATAGAGACACCCGACCTGTCGGTAAGTCAACAATTATCATCGTTTATTCAACAATATTCAATAAATGTACAGTAACTTGAATTAATAGGCATAATTGTTCTATTATATGGGTCATTTAACTATTGGAGCGATTAGCTAAGCCTACTGCACGCAGCAGCAATGCGCAACAGCATCCGAAATGCACAACAATGTCAGCAATCACTGCAATGTCAGAAATGTATCACAATGTCGACAATGCGCCCAATCGTCAGCAATGCACAACCGCACAGCCAATGTACAACAGCATAGTATAGCTCTGTCCCCGCTACGCATCGACCATGCGATCCAGTCAGCAGCGTACAGCTATGGCCTTGTGCTTCATACACATCAGCCAAAGTACGACTATGTACATATGGCGCATATAAGCATTTTCCAAAACGCAGAGCACAAGAAATTCACTTCTTGCTCGCTATCAGTCCGCAACTTCAACTCTTTGTAATCACTTGAGTACAACCCTCACGACTAGGGTAGCAGACCAGTAAATAAACTTCCATAGACCCCAATGGTAAATGCTCCCACTTCAAAAATTCGGGGAAAATACTCACAACTCTCCAAGGTGTTGGAGACACACATCAAATTAAAGCTTATTTCATCATATTTCATTTTCTTTTCAATTTTTGGGGGGTCAACTGATGACTTTTAGGAGAAATTTCCATCTGAAGATGATCACCCCTGAAACTAGTCCTGAAGCCCATCGCCATTTTGAAAAACGATGCCTACACTCCATTGCGAAATAGAGCGCTTTTAGGGTCCAAATTACATCAAAATTACACAGAACTGCAAGCTCCCAGTCCTTTGCACGGCTTCCATCCATATTTTTTACAAACCCTCAAGTTCATGGCCCACAGCATGCTCAAATACCGAAGATTTTGAGGGCATGCAAATCGTGATTTGGCCAGCGCAGGCAATTTCGGACCGAATTTCTGGTCTGCACCCCTAGACGCATACATGTATATGCACCAACCTATGGCGCAATAGAGCCTATGGCACTTGGCTAACCAATCGCATACATGCAGCAACTCACGGAGCTCCTTAGCTCCGCCCGGTCGCTAACACAGCGAAATAAACATTAGTGCTGTAATGTATGACGTAACAAATAAATTGGCTCTAAGCTCACACATTTACCGTCACAATATGTTTTGTAGCAAAATGCGAATTTCCATCGAGTTTTCTAGTTGATGCCTTGTCCGAAAATGTGAGCATTATCATATAACCCCAAACCCAAATTCTAATTCTTTGCAGAGAGTTGTCGAAATCCAAACGTGAGACATCACGTTGATGTGTACCGCAATGCACTGTTAATATCAGTTCAGGTTAATACTTAAAAGACATCTTCACACTGTAGAATGGTTTATTTTTTAACAGAGGCCGCTACGTTCTTTTGGCATCGATTAGAAAAGAAAAAAAGTAAGCTGCAAGGCACTTTCTACATTTTTACCCAGAATACTTTGTGAATCACACGGCCGTTCCTAGAGCACGGAGAACGACGTGGATGAATTTCGAACTGCCATTAACTTGCTTTCAAATTGGGTTTAAGGTCTCAAATTTGGCAGGCGACGTGCTTGCAACCATAACATTTTGATGGATGTGTTGTGTGACACGTTTTCGGCACTCAAGTTTCCAGTCTGGTCGATGCCATGCGAGTCGATGCAATGTTCGCTTGATTCTTGCAGTGTTTTCCGTCTTCGTCGTCCTTTTACTCAAACATTTACCTAAAAAAATATATAAAAATCTGCACTCCATACACTGTACCCTATAGGACATTCTTGTTGGTTTTCAACATCGCTAACTGATACCGTTACTCACAGAAATATGTCGATACATGGACAAGGTACACAACATTGACTTTTCGGTTTGCCAGAATATTTCTCTCTGTTTTGGTTCCAGCCCAAATTGTATTGATCCTTATTCCAGTGAGGTTCAGATCATAATAGCGGGTTCACACTCTTTATACGTGACGAAGCGAAAGCAGCCAGTTTCAGCAATAACATGTTTCCATTGTCCAATATGTAAATTAGGGTCTGTCCCAATTTGTTGTTATCCGCCTCCGTGGATAATGGTCGGCTATGCATTAGTGGCTCTGCGGCAACGAAAATAGCATGACTTTTCGATTTCTCTCTGTGTGGGCCTGCATGTATAATAAAAACATTTTACAAAACACACCCAGCAGGGAAAATAGATGAGTCATTCAACAAAGTTGTTTACGTGAGCGTAGGTTGTAGTTCAGTGGCTAGATCAACATTTGGAAATATTGTGACCGACTGGTCCAAAGCACCAAACTTGGTAGATAGATTTTTATAGTAGAAGAGTTGATCACGAGCAACAACGTGGAGTTTGTTCGTGTCTAAAGCTAGCTCAATGTTTCCATTGTTTGTAGATTTTGCTCACCTAATTATGATATTGATCATGACCAAAAGAGAGGAAGTTATATAGTTTCTTTATACTCTTGCTCTTCATCATATTTTTCGATTTTTGTACTCCCAAGACATTTTCAACTTTAAGTTAAATTTAAACGAAACTCGAAAAATTCAATTGTTTGGGGTGGTAAGACGCTTGCGGGTTTTGCGAAGAAACTACAACAAGATTTTAATAGAGAATATATGGAACCCATATAAAGGTATAGGCAGTGCCCGAAATAGGCATACAACAATTCTCGTGTGGAGTACATGTATATCAACCACATATCATACAATGAGTGAATCGTCTCTTTCCAAAATGGCGTCTTTTTTAATTTTCGTTCAAGAATAAAGTTTGTTTCACAATTCTATATAGAAGAAAACGTTCTCTTGTTTGTGACTGAATATTTAATTACGTTACCTAAGACTTACAGGACTTGCAAATTTCACAAGGGACAGGCATTTCAATCGCATGGAGTGTAACGACTTGTGTGGACTATTTGATATTAATTGATACATGACTGCAGTCAGTAGTCTACGTAATAGACCACGGCGAATGCCGTGGTTTATGATGTGTGAGCAGATTCGCTGATTAATTAGACAAAGACAGCCGCCTCTTGACCTCTAGATTTGAACCAATCAGCGGGCGCTTTCTATATCGGATCTTCGGTCATTCACCCGTTGCTTGTCATAGACAATGGATAAAAACCTGTGTCACGCGCTCTGTATCATGTTACGCGATAATGCGCCCGGCTGTTGTATTACAAACACTGCATTCGAATTGACCAGTCAAACCATTTAGTCCTGATTTGGGAATGAAATGACGTCACGATTTATTCCACTCCGATTGGCTGGCGTGCGGCTTACATATATCTGCATGTCTAGACATATCAGACGTTACTACAGGAGATTTGGCTCCGTGGATAACGGGTGATACTCAGACTATGCAGTCTGTGCATCAGTGTGGCATGTGGGTGTTTTACACTAACGACGTTCGTTGAACGAAGTTACAAGTTTACAGCTGTCAACATGATTTACTGGTAGCGTATACAAATATATTTGATTTTTTTTTTTTTTTACGAAGAAGCATGTGACCGAAATCAATATTATCATTCGGTGACTTTATTTTCAGTTCAAGTATTTTGTTCCCCGAGATTCCCATGCGCGATATTTCATTTTACCCACAGTGTATGATAAAATGCTTATACCCAGCCAGTACACGTTTCGCATACACAACATCGTGAGTGTAACAGCAACAAAGTTGGAGCAAGTACGGAAGGAAACAGCGACAGACCTGACCCTTCAACTACTCAAGCAGCAGATTGCAGATGGCTGGCCTGACAGCATCAAGAAAATTCATTGCTCTATCCGAGCATACTGGTCAGTCAGTCAAGGTCAGTCATTTGCAAACTAGATAACCTAACAGTCAGCACAATCACCAGAGTGTTGCGAGTTCTATTTGCTGAACAAGGTGTCCTAAATGTAATCATTTGCGACAATGGAACCCAATTCACCTCTTCGCAATTCCGAGCCTTCGCACAGCAGAATGGTTTTCGGATCCAGACATCGTCACCCCACTACCCAAGAGGCCATGGTTTCATTGAACGACACATCCAGACTGTGAAGAGAATCCTATCCAAGTGTCGCGAATTAGGAGACGACCCTAACATAGCCCTCCTGTGTCTTCGCACGACCCCACTCAAATCCAACCTCGCTTCCCCAGCCGAGCTACTGAACAGACGGAAGTACAAAACTGCACTACCTTCAATAATCCATCCCCCACCTGACCGTGCAATTAGGTGATTTCCAAAGATGCGTCTTTTTGGAAATTTCCTTTGCTTCGTTTACAATTCGGCGAAGCCGTACATGGGTGCACGCGGTTGCTTTAATTCGTTGTTTCAGTGCGTGACATCGCGTAACTGCTGCCATCAGCGTGCACATCAGCTGAACAAGAACGTGTCCCGGACGCAAATTTCGGCCGCAATTAAAAACATGGACTCGGATCCTAGAAAAATTGTTTTCTCGGAATTTACATCATTCACAGAGCTAAAAGTTCCTCAGGTTAGTTGTAAAGCTCCGTTCTTCAGATTTCGAGCACTTTTGTTGCCTCAAATCAAAACAAAAAAGCACGAATGACAAATTATATACTTAGACAAGATAAGTTTGCGGAAGCACCATGTGAATAAATCTCTTTTGTGAGTACGTGTGGTTCTGAAAAGAACCGGAGGGACTCATCCATCCTTATAACATCGCATCATCGTTGGAATCCCTCATTCTCCTGACGACGGGCAGAGCATACTGTTCAAAGCGTTGAGTCCCTCCGGTTCTTTTCAGAACCACACATACTCACGAAAAGAGATTTATTTTCATGGTGCTTCCGCAAACTTATCTTGTCTTAGTGTCTTTCCACCATGCAAACCTTCAAATCTCAAATTATATACTTTACCTTTAATATGAAATGAAATAAAATTGCCATATTTTTAATTTGCCAGATTCGTCAAAACACAGTGCAGTGACCCACCTTTGAGAAATTCAGTCACCTACATACACTCAAGTAATAACAACTCATCACTAAGTAATTAGGTTTACGCTCTTGTTTTTGTATTTTCCCACTTCCAGACTACTTTTGCGTTCCCGTTCAGCTGTGTTGTTGACAGCTCTGCACATGATTGTCTTCCTCGGCGAATACCAACATGCAGCAGCAGTCAAGCTATACAGAACGAGCAACTGCTGGGAGATTCTCGATAGTAGTGGTAAGAAAATTGTATTCTGTATTAATTTGCTCATCCTGAGTTGCAAATACTGTATTCATAAATACCTAGGACAGTTAATGTATTCCTGTTGGTCAAGAACCCATCACTTGGGTGGTTTAAAACCACCGTTTGAGCGCGAAGTTTAAAAATACAAGATCTCGCACTCCATGCCATGCGCGAAGTATAAGCACCGTGCTGCGCGCGGTGTTTTTATCTGCAGCACACATCGTCAATAGCTCAATGCGTATTCATAAGAAAAAAACAATGACGTCCTACCATTGCTCTCGCTCAGTCATGCATATGTACATTAAAGCATTTCTGAGAACGGTTTTCCGTCGAGCTTTCCACAGTCCTAGTTGACAGTGGAATAAACCATGGGTCGCAAGATCTGTATTTCGAACCCATGTCCATTTTCATCAAACATTTTTGTTGGTTGGGATAAGTTTAAATGAAGGGATACACTACAGTAACGTAAGTGTCTTCCATCCACACAGCATGATAAATATTCATGTTAGGGTGCGTGATTATACAGGGTAAGTCCAAAAAGCGAAACCCAAATGTCGGGATTATTGTTTTAGTGAAGTTCTGCATGTAGCGCTTTCTAAATCTAGCATATGAAAGTAAGCCAAATTCATAAGCTTTCTTTTAGTACAAGAGTCATACAAATCACTCATGTGCTTTTCAAGTTACGGAATTTTAAACACAACCACCGTTTTAAAGTTCTGTCCACGGATCACATTAAAGGTGTGCGTTCTTTCAGCAAAACGAAAACAATTCACACACATCCCTAGTGATTTGTATTCGTTTTGCTGAAAGAACACTTACACTCTGGTGATCCGTGGACAGAACTTAAAAATGGTTGTTGTGTTTAAAATTCCTTAACTTAAAAAGTACATAATTGATTTGAATGATTCTTGTACTAAAAGAAAGCTCATGAATTGGGCTTTCATATCCGTGATTTTGAAAGTGCTACATGCAGCACTTCACTAAAACAATGGTCCCGACATTTGGGTTTCGTTTTGTATTGGATAAAATACGATGTACGCTGCAAAAAAAAAACACTGACAAAGACATCCATATAGGCAGTTGCTGGGCACACCACTCACTCCGCACGCGCCAATGGCAAACATGGAGTTAAATGGTGGGGACAATTGTATTGGGAAATGTATTTGTTACTACTTGTTGTCGTTTATATGAAGAAGGCTTTGAAATGTGAATTGCTTGAAAAACACTTTGAGAAAAAGAGTAATGGGAAGCACCCTGCATGCAGCGATCAAACAAATTCCATTTTGGGCGCTTAGCGATGCAAAGAAAGAAATCAGCCTGTGGATCTATAATATCAAGAACTAATTGTATCGGCCTACTTTATACTGGGCTAAACGAAATTCAATCTTATTCCACCTGTTTCTGCAGATGTCTTGAGTGCAGCCATTTGCGTAAAAACATCCATTGGTGAAAGTCTGTATTGAAATAATGTCATCCATTTCTTCCCTTCAAATTCCCACTTTTCATTTTCATACAAAACAAAACAAAAAATCAGTTTTGGATGCCACAAGTGACACCAGTGCCCCGTCTGGCCAGCCAGCCTACCGTATCCTCAATAAGATTGATGAGAACGTCTACATCGGGGGCAATGAAACCCTCAGGAGACGGTTCCTTGTAAACAACCAACTGGAAATGGAGGAGGTAGGACATTTTCATTAAGTGTATATTGTATGACCTGATAGCAAGAAATGTGTCGTATGGTTTTTAATTTTAAAAAAGGCCAGAAGACTCATCTCTAGACTCATCTCTAGACTTGAGGCCTGTCTTGACCATTTCAGAATGTGATCAACAGTAGTACAGAAAGTAAAACAAAGGAGAAAAATCATTAATTGGCTCCTAGGCAGGAAGGGAAATATTTGGGGGATTGTTCACTTTGATAATAAAAGCATGGCATTGAGCACACAGTCAGAGTAAGTCTCAAGAAAAATATAGATATAGGTTCAAAATGGTTGAAACTGCTTATTATTCTACCTATATTTTTTAAGGACAAATCTGTGATGGCTTTATAGCCAAATATCTTTCTCATGACAAACATGTACTTGACAGTGTTCCAAATTCCATGCTTTTATCATCAAATGAACAATCCCATCACCAATCTGCCTTACTATAGGATGCCGTTAAAGAGGTACAATGGTATAAGACGAAATAAAATATTGTTTCTTGTCTTAATACTCTCATTTCTTTTTACACTCAGATTCAACTGGGAACAATGGAACCCGAAGGCCTTGTCTTAACCTGTGAAGCAGTATCTCCAACCACTAAAGAGGTGAGCTAAAGATAGGTTAGGATTGTGCAGAAGATATTCAAATATTTGATAATCAACAAAATATCCAAGCAATATTTGTTTCGATTTCGAATATTACGTGAAAAAAAGGAAGTGGTCACAAGGAGATGATGTAAAACTACGGATCTATTACTCACAAGGATGAACGACTGTTCTGAGCTCATTTTTTGGGGGGGTGGATGCGTGATAACGGGCCTTAAAACCCGTATTGCACGTATTTTCTCAAAGGCTGTAAGACGGCAAACATATATTTCATCGTTTTGGAAAAACATTTATTTCGTCACTTTGACATCGTGAACGTTCCACTTGTACCATTTTGCTTGTTTTCCTGAAACGGAAATATTAATAAACTTTAAGCAAAACCACTTCTTGGGAAAGAGACTTGTTGCAAAATTGTTACAAAACAAATGCTCCAGGATATAAAAGATGACATTGAACAGTTTTTGTCGTCATAGATGGAGTATTTGCCCAAAAAAGGTCAAAATGTGACACCTTTTTCGTTAAGTTCTTTTTTATTTAATTTCATGTTGCATGTTGTCTTAATTGATATAAAAGCCGCCATTTTCCAGTTTTATTCGATTTGTGTGTTTTATTTATTCGATTTTGTGTGGTCCAAAAACAAGTGTTTGTTGGAATTAAGTTTTTGAATTGTTTTCTATGGTTATTCATATGTTTTCATTAATGTTTTTATTCTTCATTCATATATACTGGTGGATAGACATGGCTGGCTTTTTCAGTGTCACATAACATTTTAATTTATATTAAATTTGGTGCCAGCACCGTTTTATTGGTTGAACGTTCACAATCCTCACGTAGGCATGTGCAGTACTACTGTAGTGAGTCAATACGGTATTTCATAAGTCCTAAATTCAAACTATCCGGTTTGTTAGTGTGACGTCAGTTCATTCTAAACCACGCCCACTTGCCATTAAGTAGAATTGGAACCATTGGAACTGGAAGTTAACGCAACTTGAGTGTTTAATGGGCGCAGGTAATCAGTAGTGCGCGCGCGTGTATGACGTTTGTACTAACGAACCGGATACCAGTACATCTGCGTTAGGCGCCACATAGCTAGAGGGCAATTTTGATGATCGAAATCGATGAAAATTTATAATTTTCGACTTGTTTTGACTTTGGGATTTTATTTGACCGAAAAGGTATTGATGAAAGGGAATAAATGTGTGCTTGGTCGGTATTAAACACTCTGTGTAAGACCGGTTGGAGTCTGGATGCTGATAATTGATCTGGATGCTGATAATTGACCTATTGCGGTGTAGGATCGCATTAGAATTGCGTCAACGCAGCTTGTGAAATATTGTCCAATTACATGACATACAAATGGACGTGGAACGCGCAAAATCTGAGACAAGCAAAATTTACCATACACAAATTAATTACATAGGGTTGTTTAGGTGGCGTGGCTAACTCACAAACGGCAATAGGTAAATTACCCTCGCCTTCGGCTCGGGTATAATTATCAGCGTCCAGACTCCAATTCGTCTCGGGTAATTATCAGCATCTAGACTCCCAACGGTCTTAAACAAAGTGTTATTATTTTTTTATAAGATTCACCCTGCGAACACCATTTAACAACTATTGCACATATCTTTGGAGCTTCCACAGGGAATATAAGCTCAAATTTCTTCTCTACAATTGGACAAATATCAGCCACCACTACCCCTTCTTTTATACTATTTTAATCATCTCTTTGTAAATTTGCGATATTAAGCGCATGGAGGTGCATGTACAATCCCAATAAGCGGCAAGTTTTAGCGAGCGCATGATCAGTCTATTTTAAATTTAATATCTGAATATTCGTTTAATTCAAGTCCAAGTTGGAAAAATGAAAATATACTGAAATATTTGAAATGAACATCCCTAATTTAAGTTTTGTGTATGACTAGCGTTTTATTCATTACTTCCACAAGATAAAAAAAATCAAGGCATTATGGGTCTAAACCGACCATTTTGTAGGTGAAAACAAGAAAGAAAATTCTAGGTTTTACTCTAGTTTGTTACATTTATTTGCAAACCCTTCCTCTTCTATACAGACTGTCTGTTGGAACTTCATACGTATTGCAGACAAAACTAGTTCTGGTGATCTCCTGGTGTGTGGCACTAACGCGTTTAGCAGGCAGTGTTATCAGGTAAGTGTCATAATGGGCCGTCGGAAATGGACACTATAAACTTTGTGTCAGTGACACCACAACGTTTTAAAAAGTTTGGGGCTAAATAGTCAGTTCCAGTTTGGGGCACTATTTATTACTTTCAAAAAGCGTGCAATTACATGTAAGGGATAATGGGACCCGGCGAGTCAGTCATTAGAAATCTCAGAACCACTCTGTACTACCCTTTAAACGGTATATGCTAGTGAGCTTGAGATTTTGAGAACAGAAAGGAGAACAAAAGTATAGTGAAGTATCTACAAACCCGCCACACTCGAGAGGTACGTGCTCAGCAAAAAGTTATTTGAGGCTGCTAGCTCAGCACGAAGCTATAACAAAATATTCCCGTGTGTGGTCATTTTTTGCTGAGTGTCCTGCCTCGTGAGGCCGTGAGGCAAATATCTATCCTGTTCGATTTTTTTTTCGAGAGGACAAACTCACCGTGTGCGGGCAATCTGAGCTTAGTGCTAAGCTAGAAAGATTAACTTGACAATGAAAGAACATTATTTATTCTTGTTTATCGGTCGTGTGCTTTCCAAAATGGGGACAAACGTCAACAGGATTTAGAAGGCTTGTACAACAATATTTTAAAATCACGCGAACGGATCAAGTATGTGATTTCATTGGGTTTTTAATCTATTTAGCTCAGCACGTACCTCAGAATGCCCTCACAGTAATTTTTTTCGCCTTGTGAAGCGAAAAAAAATCTAACGGGATAAGCCCAGCGCACAACTTTCTGATTTTGCTGGTTCTCCGGATCACCGGATCACCCGAACGGTTTTTTTTCACCGTTGCGGTTAGACCGCAGCGTTACCTGCACACGTGCCCTACTCCGTTCTACACATGTAATCGGTCACACGATGACCAGGCACATGATGACAATCACGTGCCTTCCTTGGTAAATCTGATTGGTTAACACAAATATTGAGGCGGGACGGATCCGGTGAAATCGGTCGCCTGGTATACGATCAGATACGTACGAATTTTCAGCGCACACCACTGTACGATAGCCCGATGATCCGGTGAACCGGGAAAATCGGAAAGGTGTGCTCCGGGCAAATTTGCCTCACGGCCTAACGTCCAGAAAACTGAGCAAAAATGTACTGAACACGGGGATATTTTTGTGAGCTACGCGCTAAGCATACGGCCTCGAATAACTGTTGCTCAGCTCTCGTGTGCGGCGAGCTTTAACTCCATACATAAACACTATTGGTATAGGGGGAAAAAATCATTTTGAATTAATTGTTAATAAAAACTTCAGGAACTACGAAGTCCATTCAGTTGGTTGCTGTGTGGTACGGTGATATTAAGTATAATAACGTGTTTATGATGCTGTCAGTTGTGATCAGAGTGACAATTCTTTTTTTTTAAATGCCCTGTGAATATACCTTTACAGGCTGAGGATTTGCAGACCGACTTGTAAATGTTTTCCGTTTGATACACATGTATATATATTTATTTCACAGTGCCCACAATCGAATCTGAACATGTGCACTGAATTGTCCACAAATTATACCCAACTGACTGTGGTTCCTCAACAAAACAATATTAACGCCGAGACCGCTATTTTCAGTAAGTATCCCTCATTTTAACTCATTGTACGGGTATCCAAAAAAAAAGGATTCTTGAAGTTTACATAGGTTTATTGTACTGATCTTAATGCACATTATTTTCAACTAGAATACGGTTACCGGATGTTTATTTGAGTTGGTAACCCAAAACAGTACAAACAAATACTTTTTGCATAGTTCTGATCTTATAACGTTTATTTCATTTCAGGCAGTAATGCTGCAGATGTGGATACCCTTTTTGGTGGTAGTGACAGGAAACAAACCTTCAACAGATATTCTGTAGATGCAGATTTAAGCACTGCTGACCCCATAGAGTTTGAGCTAGATACAGTCACTGTTGGAGAAGGGTTTATAAAGGGTAAGCTGGATATGATATTTTTCAGTGTGCCACAACAAGGAAATTAGTGAAGTAGCTCAGTGTACACACGTGTATACAGTTGAATATACAGTAAAACGCCGCTATAACGAACATTTGGCTATAACGAACATCCCCTATGGCTCCCCAAATATTAAAATATATTATATTTCGATATCACTATCATGAACGACCATTATAAAAAAAAAATTGTACAGATCCCATCGTGTTCGTTATAATGGCGTTCTATTGTAATACTTCACTGACACCACAAACTTAAACCTTTTATAACAGTGTGGCAATCATTAAAGACCTTTACCTGGTTTTAATAAATTGGTCGCTCATTATGCGTTTTCCAGATTGGGTTTAATGTTGTTTGCCCTCACTTCAGCAACCTCACTAATGACATTATATTTTGAATTTGCAATCAATATTAAATAAAGTGTGTACATTCTAGGAGATAACATTGAAAATGTTGGTGCCAGACAAAATGCAAATTTGGCATCTCAAAAAATTCTTTTTTTCTCTCGTACGCTGGCAGATCCAACCTTTATAGGGAGACCCTTTGAATACACTCACGATGACGGTAACGAGTACGTGTACCTGATCTACCGTGAAACTGCACTGGAATTCACCCTTGGAACCAAAGTGTACTCACGCATAGCCAGAGTGTGCAAGGTACGTACTTTACCAGGAGACACAAGTTTGTCGTGAGCCAAATGTGGCCCATCGGTCTGGTGTTTATCTCTGGTTTCTTTAATACCATGAAATGACTGAGATTATTCCTATTCCCCCTTGGAAGTGATGCCAGTCCATTGCAGGTTACTGCCCGGCTAATGATGGTACACTTAGCTGCTGTGTGGAGAAAGGCAAGCGGGGGAGAAGTGGCTTGACCAAGGACACAACATATGGCCAGCACCAGGATGCAATGACCCTCTCACTATTAGAGTCACAAACCAAGAACTAGGCCACACGCCTACTTTCCCCAATAAACCCAACAAGATGGGTGGAATAATAAGTTTGAATATGCCAAGTTCACAATTTGCCTGTCAGTTGGCAGCTACGTATAAGACTTTACTTATTAATTTAAGTTTATCTTCAGCCTGCCTAGACCCATAGTCAACCAGCCTAAAGTTGCTGTTTTCACCACATCTTATAGGTATCTCCCAACCTAAATAAACGAGTTGGAGTACCAGTTTCTCATGTAAGGTTTAATATTGAATGGCGCACGCATTCCCAAGGAGAGCAAACAATATATGTGTGCAGAAACACTTTTCAATCGATATAGTTGGTGTCTGGGTTTTCTTGACGAAGATTTTATAAAAAGTTTACTAAATTTGGAACATCAAGCATTCGTTATATATGACTTGAAACTTTGCATGGCGGATGAGATAAAATAGAAAATATGCGCGTAACACCATGTGGAAAGAAACGTCTTCTTAAAAGAAGTGTGGTTCTCGAAAAGAACCGGTTGGCTGAGTGTAATTGTAACTGTAGCACGGTCCAGGGCATTTAAACATCTTGTCATTCTTAAATAATTGCATTTTTTTACCAGGGCAGTGTCAAACAGAATAACAAGTGTCGGCCAAAAACTTCATTGTGAAATTGTTCCCCAATTCCCATCTTATCCACTTACTGTTACACCACGTATAGAATGATACAGGAGGCACCGTCAACGATATGAAGTTTGTCACCTTCATCAAGGCTCGTTTGGAATGCTCCGTACCCAATGGCGATGAGCCAGCATTTGAATATGATTATATTCGTAAGTATTCACGTTAGTCTTATGTCTTATCAGTTCAACATAACGATACCTCGCTTTCAATTTATAGCAATAACTAAAAAAAAAAGTACCACTTTTTGAAAGGCAACATCAACAGATAAACGGATCGAAATATTTCACTCCTTTTTTAGAACATGCCTTTCGTTGAACACAGAGATTCCAAAGCTTGTTACACATAGCTTAATCTATGAGGGTTTTTAAGAATAATAACTACGTTTCAGTAAAGAGATGAAAAGTGTTATTTGAATTGCACTGATTTTAACTTCCACATAAATCAGATAATGTTAGTTCAAACTGACCGACAGAAATGGTTTTATAGTTTCCCAGTAATACCAGTTCCTGTACAGGCTCAGTGATGGTTCTCATTTTTTTTTTAGATGGAAGAGACCCCCTGAGTTTAGTGCAGTGCATGTATTGCAGATCAGTTTCTCTTCGTGAGCCTAAATGGCCGGAGTGGTTTGATAAATACACGTTGTGGTTGAACACACCTACAATACAAGCCATTCTTCCTGGATGACATGTTTTGGATTAACAGGTCTAGTTGAAATGAAACTAACGCAATGTCTTCGGTTCCCGAGAAAAGACGGGGAAAAACCAGGTTGTCTACATCGGACACGACGGATACGCATACGTTTTTCCTTTCGTTTTCATTCAATGTACGATACACGTTGTGTGTGTCACATAAATTACACACAGCACCAATATAATGTGGTTCTAACACGCCCTCAGAAGGCGAACAACTTTACGGCTGGAATCACAACCATCGCTGAAGAGCCCGATTTTTTTGGGTCGCAAAATTGGACCCCGAAATTAATCCTCACACGAACACAAGAATAATACAACGCCGCCCAGTTTTTAAAGGATAATTGTATGGATGTTTATATCCTACTTTTAAAAGTTCTTTCCGCATAAGCGCATTTTGTTCAAAACGCGTTTCGTTGCCGAATTAGGCTTATTAAACTTTAAGTTTTTAACGTAGTATGTCTTTTGTTCTTAATTTTAAATCAAGGAAATATTAATTAATCAATATATATACTTATAATTAAACGTTAATCAATATACTTGTTCTAATATACAGAGGATGTTGTCTGGGATGCCAATAATACGAGAGTATATGCGGTATTCACGAATCAAGAGTAAGTTCAAAGTATTTCGTGCTTATTTTACTAATTCACATCTTTTATTCATAAATTATCAAGAAAAGACAAGAAGAAAAAAGTTAAAGATGAATTAAGAGATCAGTCTAAATGTTTATGAAGTAAGGAGTGGATTAGCACAACTATTTTAGTTATGAAATAAGTTAGTTATTTTGATACAAGGAAAATTCTGGAAGGGTGAAGTCTAAAAAGGCTATTCTTTTTTTTCAAAAGTGTCAACAAAGTTACTCCTTTGTACATGACGAATCTTTTCAAACCACTTACACAGATTCGTGAGCAAGATAATCGACTAATAATGCATAGAAATTTTCTGTCACCCCAAAAAACTGAATGCTATGCCACAAGTGTTATCGTGTGCGGTGCGAATATATTGAATAGTTTGCATGAACAACTGAGAATCTGGATTCCTCAGCCACATTAAAATTAGAACTACGTAAAGCAAGAAATATACACTTGTTCGTGATTTCAATTAAAGGGAATGTATATATGTAATACAAGGATGCTTCTTTCTGAGTCGAGAAAGCATTTGCGAAGAACAGTTGTCTCAGTTTCTTTCAATTTTCTTAGTTAAAGCCAACCTGTGTGCTGGTTTGGGTGTGTGGGGGAGGTTTCTTTTGACTTGTCCGTTTCCACAGTACGCATTCAAGCAGATTTCGATGCCTCTTTGAAATCGTTCTTTTGGAGGCAGTCGAAAGTATAGGTCCCAGTTGTTCAGAATGGCTACTGTTTAGAACAACTACTTACCTTTAAAATGATATATTTGTTTGTTTGTTTTTCATTTCACGTTGAGTATCTTTTCCAAGGCCTATGTTATTCACGCACATGATCACTATTTCAGAAATGGACCTGCGACGTCAGCCCTTTGCCAGTACAGGATGGGGGATATCATGAATCTGTTCGATAACGGTAATTTCCAGGAACAGGATGAAGGCAATGTCAACGTTCTGTGGAATGAAGTGCTTGTGCAACGGAACCCAAGGCCTGGAACGGTATGTCCATCATTATGCCGGCTAATTTCAAAGACTCTGTGTGCAGGAGCTGCAGATTGTGCACTGTCACCCAGGAGAACACACAGTATTATACAGTTGTGGGACACTTGCAATGACTCGCGTCCTACTCGAGTCACAACTCTTGGTGACCCGACTCAACTCGAGTCCCTTTGGGTAAATGACTCGACTCGACTCGAGTCTTTGCGAGCAAATGAATCGACTCGACTAGAGTCCCTCATCAGAACACGACTCGACTCGACTCAAGGCTAATAAAGGCAACATTTTACAATGCAATATTTGCAATAGCTCGAATCGAGTCCCTGCCAACAAATGAATCGATGCGACTCGAGGCTAATAAGACTGGAGTCCCAAAAATAAAGCAAAATTTCGCTTTATTAATTTTATTAATAATTTGCAATAATTTACGGTGCAATATTAATGCTCACGGCACTTTGCAACTACAGGATGGTATACTGCGGACTCTTGTCGTGAACAAACATGTCACAGGGGTGCAACCCTACATTAAAATTCCAATAGACACTAGTGCTAAATGCCCATACTTCAAAATTCTTTTTAATATACTCAGAACTCTCACAGGTATCTAAGCTGCACAGACAAATGATGATTAACATGTCATCTTTCATTTTCTTTTCATTTTTGGTGGATAACCATTTACTTTTCGAGAAATTCTCACCCAAAGAAGACGACCCCTATTTTTCCCAAAGCAGAAAGCTAGTCATCTTAAATAACGATCCCTCCACAACATGGCAAAATATCGCCACTTTCGAGCCCAATTGCATTCAAAATGCTCAGAATTGGAAGCCCCAAGTCCGGGCCAGAGGTAAATTGTCATATCTCTTCAATTCCCCAATTTTAGAGCTCTCAGAACTCTCTAATATACAATATTTTGATTATTCATGATTTTGGCGGATGGATTTAGACCTATTTACAAAACACTATCCTGGAACCGACTCCAGCTAAAATTATGCCCTCCTTTTAAAATGCAATAGTCAGAAACAGTTTTGTACATTGCAATTCGGTTTTGATTTTGTTCAGCAAAAAAGGAATTCTAGCCAAACCAGGGCGTATTCGAAGACCTGTAATCGAGTAACCCGCGAACAGTGTTACTCGGATGTCAACCGCCCTATCAAAACGCCAAACGAAAAGAAGGGACAATTAATTGAGTTAATACGGAAATAATTGAAATCCCGAAACAGTTATAAAGAAAATGACAAAGACAAGGCTGACAAGCCCACTCTATAACCACGTACAATTTCTCTTTTTTATCGTTACTGCTCCTGCACTGAATGAATGCTCTCAATTGTATACACAAATATTAACGCAAATCCGGTAGGGGCCTAAGTCCGCCATCGGACTCGACTCGACTCGACTCGACTTCACACTGTGACTTGACTTGACTTGACTCGACTCGACTCGACCTTCTTGACATAATGACTCGACTACTCGACTCAAGTCGCTTCTTTAAAATTACTCGACTCGAGTCACAAAACATAAAAATCAGTGACTCGTCACAACTCTGACAATAGTTCTTATTATCCCTCTTCATCTGAACTTTCCTTGTGGGGGACAGTCAGACGCAGGGGTACTTTTTATCTCCTTTGCCCAAGATGCAACAATAAAAAACAAACTTGTGTCCATTCTGAATCGATTGAATTAAATTATGTTTATTCTGGGAACAACTAGTCTTGCCTTGTCTTGTACCATTAATGTGAGAGCACATCTCATTGCCACACTATTCGGATTATTTGTTTTTATATCTGTAGTGCGTTTATTTTGGTTTTTAAATTCCCAGTGTGGTGCAATACACAAGACTGACTATCCTCCCCTGTTACACAAGTCGGTGCCCAGCTATAATGCCATGGAACGAACTGGAGGAACTCAAGATGCACCACCAGCCAATTTTCCCAAATCAGATCCACCCATACTTAACGTGGACGATGTTCGCTTCACCAGCCTAGCTGTCGATTTGCAATATTCTTCTCCAGTCTACTTTGTTGGAACAAGTATGTACATGTAATCAACGTCAAGAAATGACTGATGTTATCTGCAACTTTACTGCAAATGGGGTTCCAAATTGGATCATTGATTTCGCCCAGTTTCAGTCCGAAATTGACGATTTCTGCTACACGAACTTGAAAACAGAAGCAAAAGTGTCTTAACCCTAAAGGGGCCGGGTTATTTTGACCATCTCTCAGCCGGGGGGGGGGGGCGGATTCCGCCCCCCCTAAGATTTCGGCCATCGAGTGACGAAACATTTTGAAACTCGGCACATGCATAGAGCAACTCTTCCTAAACATACCCAAGAAATTTCATGAGTATAGGTCAAAAGGTTTTGTAATTATGGCTAATTAATTATTCATATGTACGAATGGCAATTCTGCTCTGTGTACACGACGTACACATGTATATGCGAAAATTTAGATTTCACGGCGCGTAGCGCCGGAAAATTTTTCGCTACGCGGTAACCCGTGGTCCGATTTTTATGTTTTTGGTATCAAAAGATGCGCAAAGCTCGAGGCTAAAAAGTCATAACAGCTCGGGTCGCGAAAAAAAATTTTTTAGAAGCTATCACAGAACATGTTGAGGGGGGATTCCGCCCCCCGGCCCCTTTAGGGTTAAGATAGATAGCAGACATGGCATTACCAGGATTTTATTTTGGTGGGGGGACGTGAAGCGCTCACATTGTTCTTGACATCAGTAGATTCCACTGCGAAGACCAAAGACCCAAAGCCCTACAAGTTATGGAGCTTTCAATGAAAAAAAAATAAAAATGGGAGTTCCCAGGCCATTAAAGGAAGTTTTTAAAAATTGCAAACTCTGAAATAAATATATTTCTTATGACTCGCCCACTTCTTTAAGATTTTTGTTAATATCAGCAGGCCTGAGAGTTAAAAGATAGGCTCTAGTTTTGCCTCAGATTTTACAAAGAGCAATAACCTAAAATGTTCAGCCTTTTATTTCCCTTTCCCACTAATAGGTGCTGGAAGTGTGATAAAATTTACCTCAGGAGTGTGCGACGGTATCAACACAACAAATGTCGTCGAAGTTTCAGGATTAGTAAGTGGTTCCATCTTGTTAGAATGTACACAGTATTATTACAGAATATTCCTCTCAGCATAAAGACAAAGTCAGATAACATTTATATATTTTATTGTTTAAATGAAGGGAATACTAAAGTCAATTATTTATTTTGAATTTTTAGTGTGGTTAAAAACTGAGTGGGGCCTGAAATGGGCTTATCCACATGAAATATAATCGAAAAAAACCAAATGCTGGCGGGAACAAGTTGCCCAACCCCGCCCAATATACGCCACTGATTCCCCCTGCAACACAAGCAGTACAAAACAGATTCTGCCCCCCAAAAAACTAACAGCACACCGAGCAGATTCCACGGAATTCGCATGTGAGAAGCAGATGTAAATAAATAAGTGACTATTTTTTTTTTAAGAATGCCAACGGTCCCATAAATGGGCTGGAATTGTTGAGGAGTGCGGATTCTGCTGCCACTTTCCTGGTGGGCACATCCGATTTCCAAGCCTCCATTGAATGGCCCTTGAACACCAAATGCCAATCAGCACGAAATGGAGAGCAGTGTGCGCTCAGGTACCCTTACTGTTACTTCACCAACGAATCCGAATGTACAAGGTAGGTCCTCCTGAAGTACTTAATCCAAATTAGACCCAATCTTGCTTTAACTGCACTCTACCGACTTAGTTAATCCTCAGCATTATCGATAATGCGGTAAACCTAGTTATTAATCTTCGGCTACACGACATACATATATTCAGGTCTGTTGCTTCAGACGAGCCTCGTTGAGGCTAGCTCATTTGGTATAATCCGAAGTTCACGGGTTTAAATCCCTCCAGTCAAGTTTTTGTTTAAATTGATAATTGTAAAAATGCACCTGTTTTGTTTCCCTTTGCAATTTGTATTTAATAACCCCGTTATTCTTAGAATCCCCCACAACTATGTTTTTTTCCTAGAGGTCTCGACCTCATGTATCACACTACACATTCCCCATATTTTGTCCACGCATTCATCTCATCAAGACTTCACTGCTGCAACAACTTACTAACAGGACTGCTTCAACAATCATTAATACGCCTTCAGGAATTCCAAAATGCGCCGTCTGCCCGCTTACTGACCAGAACGAAATCATACGAGCACATAACATAAATCTTCATTGGCTTCCTGTTAAATACAGAATACAATTCAAAATCCTGCTCCTGACATTCAAAGCCCTTCATGGATTAGCTCCATCCTACATAAGATACCTGTTACAACTTCGCAACCTGCGACCAGGCTTCAGATCTTCTTCATCACAGATACTTTCTGTTCCCAAAACTCGCCTGGCAAGCTACGGGGACCGGGCCTTTTCAGTTCTGCTGTGCACCGCGTCTCTTGAACTCCTTGCCAGACGAGTTAAAGGACACAACTGATATGTTGTCATTCAAACGCCATTTTAGACTGATCTTTTCAATCTTTCATTTAAACCACAGTGATTTTCTAGTGACCGGCGCCTTTGAATGGTCCTCCAGATACTCTGCGCCTTATAAATTCTCTGTTGTTATTATTATATTACTAAATGTACCATTAAGGAGAAATCTTATCGTTATGTTTCGATAATAGGGAGACACCGGCTTTTAGGGAGACACAATACCTCTTTAACGCCCCCTTTAAAGGTAAAATTTTGTTCTCGCAAGGGGTTATATTTGTTGCTCGTGGTCTAATTAGTAAACATACCGCAATTCGTGGAAAAAAAACAAGGGAAAATGAGGATACGGCACATTTATGTTGGAAAAAAATGTGTGCACAAGTCCATGGGAAAGTCTTCCTTATGACCCATTGCCGGTAATGATGATTATTGTTATTATTATTATTATTAATTATTAGTAGTAGTATTCCGCTGTATGCTATAAATATGCGACAGATTTTGCTAATTGCGTCCACAATAGGGCGACACACCTTATTAAGGCGACATTTTAACTGTCGCCCTTTTGTGAAAACGACCCTTAGGACAAGGAATTTTATGGTTGCGCAGCAAACCATCTAGATCGATTCCTCGTGGTCTAATTAGTAAAAGTACCGAATTTCGCGGGGGAAAAAAGGGTAAGGTAAACTTGGGTTAGGAGACAGTTTAGGTTTGTGTTCAAGTACGTCTACGGGAATGTCGTCCTATATTAAAGCATGTTAGAGTAATTATTAGTTTTGTTATTATGTCATAAGCAGTTTAACTCGCGGCTTTACAAAAAAACGTTGTAGGAAATAAACTTCACAACTTTACTTCGTAGGAATCGAGCTAGCAGCGTCCTTTGTACTGTTTCAAATTACAATAACCCCTGACTAAATCCCTGTCATCTGATTGGCGGGTCAGTGATCAAATTCCAATAAGTTATTTGGCCCAATTATTTACAGCACCAGTCACCAGTTAACCAAGTGTAATTTGATTGTCATTTTCTTAGTCAATCAGTTTGTAATTATTGTCTTTCCCAGTACAAAAGTCTCGGTCCCTCAAGACCCGCCTACAGGTATGTCGAATCCTTTTCAGTATGCAATTTTAACATTTAGTTTTGTCAAATGTTACACTTAAAATAATGAACTATAACATCATGACAAAGTAAATTGTATACTTAAACACATCGTCAAAATGGAGCCGCATTATCAATTTGTACTGAAAGATCACTTTGCATGTTAATTGCATGCAGCTTGAATAAGTTATGTAGCAAAGTTTTGGGCCGACTTAAATGAAGGTAGTTATATTAGCGGAGCTGCTTATCTATAAATCATGCACTTTGTGCTAAATTTGGCATCTAGGGTCGCAATGGGCTTAGATCATTTTAAGAGGTGGACTCATATTGAGTATTGCCATTTTGGGGGCGGAACGTGATTTTTAAAAACGGGGGTACACGAAATAAATCCTCCTAAAAACTGTACATGTATTTAACATCCATTGTCCTTGTTTTGCCATGCTGTAAAATAATCCTAGACATAAAATAAAAAAATACTAGTATGTTATTGGGAAAACTGAGGCCTTATTGAATTGAGACATTTTTAAGTGAGGAGTGGTTCAACAACTGTTATGGGCCTTATTCACGAGTCGGCCATATTGAATTGAAAGTTAGGTAACATTTTAATTTTTGAGCTTGCGAAGAGAAATGATAGCAGGCAGTCTGCCCCAATGAATTATTTTAAATGTGTAATTAGACATTCCCTAATGTTTGCAGTGATATTTTCTAAAAAAAAATGACTGTATAATAATTCTGCATTGTGCCTGCATAAGTAATTTGGCACCATCCAATTCAACATTTCAAAATTAATGAAATACATTCAGGGAACTCGACAAAAATGGCCAACTCGTTAATAGGCCCATTGAACCATTTTATTAGCGTGGTATAAATGTGTAAGAGAGACGGTATATATGAGCAAATTGGTTGAAATGTTAAAATCATTGTTAAGTTCGGTGGTAAAATCCTGAATATTGGCATGCAGGGCTGAAATGGGCTGTAAATCATGTGAACCAATTTGAAAATGGGTGACAAATAACAGGTATCAAAATGCTAGATTATATATTTAAGTTTATTTTAAAGCAAGAAAAACAAGGAAAATGGATGTTAAAAACAATTTTTATGATTTTTGCACTTTTTTTATCATGCTGCGCCCCACCCCCCGAAAAAAAGAATGCAAGAAGGGTTCACCTCTTCAAATTATTTGTAGCACAATGCAACCCTGCAAGCCAAATGTCATGCTTTTACCACAAAGTGCATGATATTGTTAAAAAAAATTGACCCGAACAGCTCCATTATTATGTCCTTTCTGATCAAGAAGACTCTTGCCCCCAAAAAATGGTAACAGTCTATAACCAGTCTGAGTCACTATAAACCATTATCATGTAGCGGCCATCTTGATTTTGTCCCATTCAAATCAACGCAACCAAAGCAAAGATTGAAGGAAAATTAGTCTGGTTCCTGTTTGCACAAAAGACATTTTATAATTAAGTACTGTTATTGGATACAGGGAACATGACTGAAATGGTGGCAACATAATAAAGGTCTATAGTTACAGTCAGTCGGTCTGCCAGTGCAGTCAGTCAGAAAGGCACAGAGAGGACACTAGACTGGCCCTCTAGGACCGGCAGGTAAACCAAAAAAACAGTTGCATTGACCTCCTTGAAACTTACATAACGAGAATTTGACATCGGATAATGACAAATGTTGCCAAAGGTTTTCTTTTTTACAGTAATTGTCATGTGTTCCATCTTTTATAGAACTTCCTGAGGATGTACTGACAGTGTTGCCAAACGCAAATGTATCGGCCTGCCTGAACGACCACGTGTACTGGTTTTGCCATCTAGACATTGACAACCCAGCCATCGGTTCTACTTCATTCACTCTTCAATGGGATATAAGTACGTACTAAGGCTGGGTGTTATTTCACACAAATCTCAGTGCAAAGTAAATTCGTAGGGTCATGCAAATGTGGTAATGAAACTGTTATTGTTGACGTCTTGAAAATAGCTTCACTGTTGCTTCGTAAAGCATGAAGTAAACTTTAAATTTCAATACGCAAATTGTAAAAAGAAAAACATCTGCAAACTTGTTGAACAAAAGACATATCGACAGAGCCCCCAACATCATTCGGTTGCATAGGTCAGTTGGTAGAGCACCGGGATGGTAATTTGGAGTTCGCAGATTCAAACCCCGCAACATTCGATTTTTTTTGTCAAGTATTGGAAATCTTGCTTAATTAATATTTTTTAAATTGTATTAATATCTACAGCAGAAAGTGAGGAGATCAAGATGACACCTATATCAACTAATCAACTGGTACGATTGGACGTTATTGTGCAGAGCGGCACCGTAGGGAGCTACAGCTGCACGGCGAATGTTGGAGGCAGAGTGGTGACTAAACAAGTTGAACTCTCTATGAAAAGTAAGTCAATAATTATTTTCTCATTGCATTCTCCAAAATGTATTTACTGAAACATAAATATTGGATTCATATGTATGTGATAAACGCAGACAACAGTCTGGGCGATAATTAATAAAAAGGCTCATTTAGGGCGCGAAGAGACATTTATGAGAAGAAATTGGTAACCTTGCTATTTTACCTAATTTGGGGGGGGGGGGCTGAAGTTGTTGAAGTCCTCAACGTAAGGCAACTCTTTGCCTAATTTTTAGCCCAATTTACGGACACCTCAATTTCCGCCCTGTTTAATCTTAAGCCTCAATATCAAGACGTTATAATTTTTCACTTAATTTCCCATTAATTTATTTTTATAAGGGTAACTGTGCTAAGCATTTTTTTGCAACATCTCTCATTGGTTTATGCACGTTTTCTAATCGAGGTCGTCCTCGATTGTCCTCGATTTACCGATCCTGTCCTCGATTTACCGATCATGTTGTACGTGTGTGTCCTCGATTTACACCATAAACAAACGCTAGCATAGGCCTACACAGACACACACGTTTGTTTATGGTGTAAATCGAGGATTTTCTTTTGTTCCTCTACCCTTTTCCTTTGTGTGCATTCTAACTTTTTCGCAACAGCTCTCATTGGTTTTGTACACGTTTTCCAACCGAGGAGTTCTCGATTCGGTTTCTGTCCTCGATTTATCGATGATGTTGCACGTGTGTGTCCTCGATTTACACCATCAAAAACACACTCACATACATATCTATTTCTGTCCTAACTTAATATTCACCTATTTGTTTGACAACTGGGATTTTTGTTCCAGCGGACTGCTTAACACGTGACAATCTGTGTGCACGCATGGAAGAGTATAACACTCTGAAATCGCAGAATGAGGCTTTGCACGAGATGTATGGCAACGGAAATGTAAGTTGGTTTCAAAGTAAATGTGTTTGTTTGTATATGTATATTTGTTTTATTAAAAAAGGGGGAGAGGAGCTCATTCTAATTTAAAACTCTGTGACATTATTTAAAAGTATTCTTTTAAAGAGACCATCATTCTTATTCTCTCCTGTTTGTCCGAATGTCAAATTGTGGGGGAAATAACCAGAGACATAAATATAATTTTGTTGTCTGTAAACTGATTGTCGGTCGAAAAAAAACCTGAAATGTTTTGAAGCACTGTATGATCAGTGCGCCAAGTATTAAGCAGAAAGCTTTGGTTTCAGCCAAGATAAAAAAAAAAGACCACTTCGACTAACAAAAGCAGTTAATTATGAATAAGACAAAAGGTAGAAACACATTATGGAGAGTGTGGTTAACCTCTTTTCCATATAGGGACAACATCTATTATTAAGTGTTATCACTTAATTATCAACCCCCTGGAATTTTGTAATTTAAATATAAATAAATTGAACTAAATTAAAGTGCATTGTAGTGCTTATATAGCGTTTTCGATACAGCGCTGTATTTCACGTAGATCTTATGGACGTATTATTTTCAGCAGACCTGTGATCTAAATTGGTGTGGAAGAAAATGTAACGTTGGGCCTCCTGTTATTGTGGTTAAGCAGCACACAGTTCCTTTCTCCTTTGATGGTACACAGCTCGTCACCGTTTTCTCCCAAATATGTCAAAAATTACCATCTTTTCGATTTGTTTTTTGTTTCCAATATTTTGCTTTAAAACAATGTACTTAACCATTTTGACATGTTTCTGTAAGCAAAACATCATTAATTTCCAAGTTACATTAATGTTGCAAGGGGCAGATATCTCGATAAATGCATTTTGCGTTTTCACGAAGAGCAACATACATTTTGGCTCCTTGGACGTGAACAAACCTATTGCGCGGAAATCCGTAAAAGTAGGCCAACTGAGATTTCCGTTTTCACGAAGAGCCACAATCTTTGTTACATTTTCAGCTGCGCGCGCGTACTCACGCGCACCTATGCAAATACACGTTGAACAGAAAGGGCAAAAATGTCGGAAACCTTAATTTTCGTTTTCACGAAGAGCCACGTATCTTTTCTAATTATTTTTCACCAATTAACTGCTGTATTAAGTCTAATTACTGGGTTCATGTAAAAATTCAGCTCTCATAGAATCGTGTGATGGTTTCATAGAATCGTGTGATGGTTGCTGCACAAAGTTGTTGCAAAGTGGGTTTTTTTTGCAGTTTTAAAATATGAGGAACTTCTTTTGCGATTATTTCGAAAACGCATTCTCTTCAAAATCCAAATAATGTGGCTCTTCTTATGACTATTGTCGGTCACTGGAATAAAACAGTGTTAATGTTTACTTCGGTAAGTTTGAAACTCTCTGGCCAGGCAAATGTTTTCACATCTTGATTCCTGTGTGTTTTTTTCCCCAGGAAATGTGTTCTGTAAAACGCCAGGATTGCGCAACTGTGGACTTAACATGTCCAACATCGCCATAATAACTTTTTCTTCAACATTGTGCATTTATAAATGTATGAAGGTTGGCATGTTTATTTGTTTTCTTTAATTTTAAGTTTATTCGCAAACACAATCGTTGGGAATAATCCAGAACTGCAACAACAAAAAGATCAGTTTTTTTGGAGCTGCTTGTACATAAATTGGCCAAGCGCAGAAAATGATTTGTTTTGATTGATAAAAACATGCACAATTTCACAATAAGCTGCAACTTGTGGTAGGCTATTTTTTTCATTTTTTTGCTTGGGCATTTGGTCTAGTACTACATTTGTGTATATACTAAACTTTCAGTTTTTGCTTGGGTATTTGGTCTATTGGAAAGTCTTCAGTACAGTCAATTCTATATTAGTACTATATACTAAACTTTTCAGTTTTTGCTGGGGTATTTGGTCTGTTGGAAAGTCTTAAGTACAGTCAATGCTATAGTCGTACTAAACTATAGTCGGATGTATCGTATATTTGCATAAATTTCCTACGCAGAGAACGCAGCTTCTACGCAAAGGTTGATTGCATAAATGCATTAACCGTCACCTTCCATGATACACCGAATTCTATTATCTAATTTGTTGGCGATTGTATTTTGATTTTGTTGATTTGATTTTGATAGCTTTTGTATTCTTGTACAGCCCTTATTTACTTCAATGCAACTTGATTAGTTTATTCAAAAACCTCTGCCATTTACCTTTTAATATTTCTTTGAATTACTTACTGCATGTGTCGTCACTTGCTGGCCAAAGGGTTACAGACAAGTAAAAGGAACGTTTAACTTAGAATACTGTTAACAATATTCTGTTGAATTAATCTGTTTTATTGACCTATCGCCATTTGCAAGTTGGCCACGCCCCTTAAAAAGACAACCCTGTGGAATTTGTGTACACTAGATTGTGTTTGTCTATTATGTTGGGCGTTCCGCGTTCATTTGTAGCGTATGCTGTGGTGGACAAGCCATGTTGAGTGGAAAATGCAGCAGTGAGCGACCTCGTTCCTCATGGGTACGATCTTGCTGCGCCATGTTGTTTCCCATCATGCCTTGCGCGATAACGCGCACGCGCCCATGGAGTCGAGGCTGAGCCGTGAGTGTCGGTATAGAGAGGCGTTAGTGACGTAATTGGGCTACGCTGTGATTGCATGCATCTAGATGCACGCAGAAACCCAAGTGAAGAGTCCCACCGCACTCGTCATCATGTCACAATGGTGTGAGGCTATTGCAGCACAATCCTAATCATTGTAGAAATAATGTGGTTGCCCTTGACCAAGGAGCGACCATTGTGCCTCCCATGTCTTGGCAAGCTGACTTTGCGTCATCCCGAGTTTGCTTTCGAAGAGTGAAGCGATATCGGGCGTTCTGGAACAATTGTTGCGCGCAAGAGCAGTGTGTCGGGAGAGGCAGGAACCTGACCCAAACTGACCATTGCTATACATTAACAGCTGAAGTCAATGATAGATGGCAAAAATAACTGACTGAAAAATGTTGACGTAAGTAAACAAAGTAGTGAAATCAGCCCCACGCTTGCTCCCCTTCGTTTGCATGAGTGTTATAAAAAAACTTTCGTATTACAATCTTTAGGAAAAGGTGTTGCAATACAATCATCAATAATATGTTATCGTGACAGAATGTAATGGATTACATGTACGTGTACATAAATTACGGCGCCTTACACACTTACGTTGCCATAAGGGATTGCTGAAAGTCTTTGTTTTTCTTTAGCAACTTTGCTTTGAATAATATAACATTTTATATAAATATGAAAATATTCATCCTTCGATTTTCTATACTCTTTTGATTCTTGCTTTATATATTTAAAACACGGGTATCATAGGTATTAAATTACTACCCTCAGGTCTTAGATCAAGATTCGTTAAACAATAAATGTTGGTGTGATAAAACTACTTTTTTGTTTTTGCTTGATAGTAAACCTTTCATTGATTCCAGAGTTCAGTTGTTTGTAAACCGTTTAAGAATGCGTGTTTTTAGTCGTCAATCGTGTCACACATTGAGAATAAAGGACTCTTCTCAATTTTCCATTGATACAACAAATCTTTCGTTTCAGTATTAAACGATGTATGAATCTGTAGTTGAAGATTCTGAACTGATAATCAAAATATAATTCCAGGAATCTCTGTGTGTCTGTCTGTATTTCAATTATCTCCAGAACTGGGCACTGTATCAAGTTGCAAATTGGCAGGTGTATTGCTCAGGACCCCAACGCGCGTGCGATCAGGCGATGGTAGACACACACGGCGTATACACACATGCAAGAGATAAACGCAATTGCTGCGACAAAAACCGTTCCACACACACTTCATGTAATCAATAACTGACTTAGTAAAGTTTAATACTGCTGTTCATGTTGAGCAGCTAAGGCGCTGCGATCCCGGTGTCACATGAAAATCCGACTCCTATGAAAATCGGACCCCTTTTCCCTTTTATTGGTTAATCCCTCTCACGTGACCGGTCACTTTCCTAATTATCATACTTACGCATGCGCAGTATTACCAATGAGTCCGATTTTCATAGAAACCTAAATTCACGCTACACCGGCATGCTGTCTCATGAATTTTGCGAATTCGCAAAGGTTGGAAACATTTCAACTTCAGCCAATGTCGCGGAGAATGGCTCCTGACGTTAAATCGCTTTGCATTCGCGCGAAGTAATGAACACTAGCTTTCCTGAAAAATTTGCAGTGCGAAAATAGCGTCATACAAAAATGCACTATTATAAAGTCCACAGTTTGAATGCAACTGCATGCCATGACATGCAATATATTACACAGCAACCTGGAACTGGGCTTTCTTTAGCTCCGTGAGGGCCGAAGGTGTTCCTCACAAAAAGGTGACTGTAGCCCCAAAGTTTCACCCGAAATATATGACCTCTGTGGCTTACAATGCTGCTTTTCTGGCTAACAATGCCCCAATGACGCAGACTGTGATGACATTAAAAAAGGTTCAATTTTTTTGTGAACTGCTTGCTCAACCTGAACGGTTCAGACACAACGTACCAGACTCCATTCACACCGTACAAATATCAGCTAACACAGCGTCACAGCGCCTAAGTAAAGGCGGAAAAGAAATGTAACACACTTCACTTCTGACTACAGTCGAACCATCATTTGCGGAATCACACCTTGAACACTGTTGTCACTAACTACGTTCATCTACGATGACCCACACAAGGTTGGTAAAATGTGTTTACTTCTTTTACTGTTTTAATGCCATTACAAACCGAAACTAAAATGATATATTTGTAGGTACTGTTCATTGCAGTTCCAATCATCTTTGGGCCTGCATTATGATATAAATTACAGTTGAACATGGTTATTGGGAAGTTGATGGTGGATTATGAAGTAGGCCCATCCGTCGGAAATGCAATACATGCTTCCTATTCCTTGTGTTTAGTTATTGACGAAGGTTTCTTTAAAAAAAAAAAGCCGCCTGCAAAGTTTCTAGGCCCATCTTTCTTAATGCTATTTTTATGTGTTTTATCATTCCAAAGTAACGTCTTCAATCTAACATTTACAGTTCTAAACACCCATATTTGTAAATCTGTATAATATTGTGGCGGGAACTCCCCGGGCCAACCCTAGTCTGTTAGGATAATTTATGTCTGACACCTATTGAGGTGAAGACAGGCTTCCCAAACCAAGGCTGTACCCTAGACGAATCATCATTCAGAGGGACCATTAACCCTAAAGGGGCCGGGGGCGAAATCCGCCCCCACCCCTCAACATTTTCCGCGATAGCCTCTAAAAAAAACAATTTTCGCGACCTGAGCTGTTATGAATTATTAGCCTCGAGCTTTGCACATCTGTTGATACCAAAAACATGAAAATCGGACCACGGGTTGCCGCGTAGTGAAAAATTTTCCGGCGCTATGCGCCGTGAAAACTGAATTTTTGCATTAAACGTCGTGTACATTCAGCAGAATTGCCATTCGTACATATGAATAATTAATTAGCCATAATTCCAAGACCCTTTGACCTATAGACATGAAATTTCTTGGGCATGTTTAGGAAGAGGTTCTCTATGCAGGTGCTGAGTTTCAAAAATTTTCGTCACTCGATGGCCGAGATCATAGGGGGGGCGGAATCCGCCCCCCCCCCCCCCCGGCTGAGAGATGGTCAAAATAACCCGGCCCCTATATTAGGGTTAAGGCTAAGGGTGCAGGTCCGTTTTGGTGGAAATCTACCGCCCGATTGAGAATAATTGTTAATTACATGTTAATTGTACAACGAACCTGTAATAGAGACACCTAAAACCTGTCGGTAACCTCAATCAACAATGATCATCGTTTATTCAATAATATTCAATAAATGTACAGTAACTTGAATTACTAGTCATGGTTGTTCTATTATCTGGGTCATTTAATTGGAGAGATGAGCTAAGCCTACTGTACGCAGCAGCAATGCGCAACAGCATCCGAAATGCACAACAATGTCAGCAATGTCAGAAATGTATCACAATGTCGACAATGCGCCCAATCGTCAGCAATGTACAACCGCACAGCCAATGTACAACAGCATAGTATAGCATAGCCTTGTCCCCGCTACGTATCGACCATGCAATCGAGTCAGCAGCGTACAGCTATAGCCTTGTACTTCATACAGTCAGCCAAAGTACGACTATGTACAAATGGCGCATAAGCATTTCCCAGACGCAGAGCACAAGAAATTCACTTCTTGCTCGCTCGCAGTCCGCAACATCAACACTTTGTAATCACTTGAGTACAACCCTCACGACTACGCGCATACATGTATATGCACCAACCTATGGCGCAATAGAGCCTATGGCACTTGGCTAACCAATCGCGTACATGCAGCAACTCACGGAGCTCCTTAGCTCCGCCCGGTCGCTAACACAGCGAAAAAAAAACATTTGTGCTGTATGTATGACGTCACAAATAAACTGGCTCTAAGCTCACACACTTTCCGTCACAGTAGTTTCGTAGAAACTGCGAATTTCCTACGATTCTTCTAGTTGATGCCTAGTCCGAAAATGTGAGCATTATAATATTACCCAAAACCCAACTGCTAATTCTTACTTTGCAGTGAGTTATCGAAATCCAAACGTGAGACATCACGTTGATGTGTACCGCAATGCACTGTTGATATCAGTTCAGGTTAATACAGAAAAGACATCTTCACGCCGTAGAATGGTTTATGTTTTAACAGAGGGAGCTATATTCTTTTGGCATCGATTAGGAAAAAAACAAGTAAGCTGCAAGGCACTTCCTACATTTTTATCCAAAATACTTTGTGAATTACACAAACGTTTCTAGAGCACGGAGAACGACGTGGATGAATTTCGAACTGCCATTAATTTGCTTTCAAATTGGATTTAGGCCTAAGGTCTCAAATTTGGCAGGCGACGTGCTTGCAAGCATAGCATTTTTATGTATGTGTTGTTTGACACGTTTTCGGCACTCAAGTTTCCAGTCTAGTTGATGCCATGCTAGTCGATGCAATGTTCGCTTGATTCTTGCAGTGTTTTCCGTCTTCGTCGTCCTTTTACTCAAACATTTCCCTAACAATTTTTTAAAAATCTGCACTCCATACACTGTACCCTATAGGACATTCCTGTTGGTTTTCAACATCGCTAATTGATACCGTTACTCACAGAAATATGTCGATACATGTACAGGGCACACTCATTGACTTTTCGGTTTGCCAGAATATTTCTCTCTGTTTTGGTTCAAGCCCAAAATGTACTGATCCTTATTCCAGTGAAGTTCAGATCATAATAGCGGGTTCACACTTTTTGTACGTGACGAAGCGAAAGCAGCCAGTTTCAACAAAAACATGCTTCCATTGTCCAATATGTAAACTAGGGACTATCCCAATTTGTTGTTATCCGCCTCCATGGATAATGGTCGGCCATGCATAAGTGGCTCTGCGGCAACAAAAATAGCATGACGTTTCGATTTCTCTCTGTGTGGGCCTGCATGTATATTAGAAACATTTTACAAAACACACCCAGCATGGAAAATAGATGAGTCATTCAACAAAGTTGTTTACGTGAGCGTAGGTTGTAGTTCAGTGGCTAGATCAACATTTGGAAAATATTGTGACCGACTGGTCCAAAGTACCAAACTTGCTAGCTAGATTTTTATAGTAGAAGAGTTTATCACGAGCAACAACGTGGAGTTTTTTCGTGTCTAAAGCTTCCTCAATGTTTCCATTGTTTGTAGATTTTGATCACCTAATTATGATATTGATCATGACCAAAAGAGAGGAAGTTATATAGTTTCTTTATACTCTTGCTCTTCATCATATTTTTCGATTTTTGTACTCCCAAGACATTTTCAACTTTAAGTTAAATTTAAACGAAACTCGAAAAATTCAATTTTTTGGGGTGGTAAGACGCTTGCGGGTTTTGCGAAGAAACTACAACAAGATTTTAATAGAGAATATATGGAACCATATGACGGTATAGGCAGTGCCCGAAATAGGCATACAACAATTCTCGTGTGGAGTACATGTACATGTACATCAACTACATATCACACAACGAGAGAATCGTCTCTTTCCAAAATGGCGTCTTTTTTAATTTTCGTTCAAGAATAAAGTTTGTTTCACAATTCTATATAGAAGAAAACGTTGTCTTGTTTGTGAATACTTAATTACGTTACCCAAGACTTCCAGGACTTGCACATTTCACAAGGGACAGGCATTTCAATCACATGGAGTGTAACGACTTGTGTGGACTGTTTAATATTAATTGATACATGACTGCAGTCAGTAATACTAACAAAGCATTTGTAAGGCGCACAGTATCTGACAAAAATAGTCATTCAAAGGCGCCGGTCAGTGAAAAGTCAGTGTGTGTGGGTGTGTGTGTGAAGGTAGAGGTCATTATGTGTGAGAAAGAAACTGATTGAAGAGGTGGGTCTGTAG